CCAAGGATAACCACCAGTACGGCTGGGGGGCTCTCTATGCTAAAAAAAGGAAGGACTAGGGGGGCCGGAAAGGGTCCTCGAGCAGCCAGGAGGCGCGGAGGTCCGGGTGAATCGAAGGGGATCCGTCATGGTCGAAGACGAGGAAGCGAAGTCGAGTGGCTATCTTGATACAAGCCGCTGAGCGTCGTTGTTTTTTCACTTATTGTTTCTTCCTTCGCCATAGGAAGATTTTGAACGCGATGAGGAATTGTGCTAGGATGAGCTGGAGGATCTCAAACCGGGAGACGGGTGAGTCTTGGAACTTGTGTTCACAGCGCGCGTTCCAAATAGCTTTTGCAGATGCTCCGACCAAGAGGCTCCAGGGGGGCACTTGGCCAGCTCTGGACGCGAGCGGGAAAAGCAGTAGCTCGGGAGGAGGAGAGCAGTGAAGGTGACGACGAGCGACGGAGGAGAGAGCGGAGATCACAGCGGGGGCCGCCCCACATTTGTAGAAGATGTGAGAGATGGTCTCTGTGGTTGCTGCGGTGCAGAGAGAGCAGATGCCACGGTCAGCAGCAAAATTGAAACGCGAGCCGGAGGGAAGAGCGCGAATGTAGAACCGGTACAAGACGTCACGCTGAAGGCTGGGTTGCTCGCGTAAGAAGACGTGGGAGAAGTCAGGAACGAGAGGAGGAGGAGCTGGGAGGACGTGACTCCAACGGGCGGCGTGGTCAAGGGGAAGCTGAGTGTAGAGACGGCGACGAATATCAGCTACGCTGGGGCATCCGTTCTGTAAGATGTCGAGCCGCGCGCCGAGACCTGCACCTGTATGGAAGGGGCCTGCAAGCCAGGACCCAACGACATGCACGGCGTAGAGGTCACGAATGTTGAATGTACCAGCTCCGAATGGCGCACGGACGATGAGGCGGTTGGGAAGGACACGATGGAGGGAGGCTGAGAGCGACGACGGGGGGGAGAAAGCGGTGACCTGGAGAGCAAGAGTGGGGGAGGACTCTGAGTCGATTTTGGCGACGAACCACTCCCCAGGGGTTGCTGAAGGGGGAGGGGGGGAGCGAAGGGCTAACCACCAGGGCTTGGGGATAGCACGAACGAGGTCTCACCAGACTCTTCGTCCAGAGGGGGAGTTGGCCGGGGGACACACTGAGGTGAAATGTTTAAAGGAGACCACAACAAGGGAGTGAAAGATAAGTGAGACCAAATTACCGACACGGATCTGTCTGGATAGGAGGAAGCGTTCGCGCGAGAGAATTCCAAACGGTTTCCCATTTGGTTTAAGGATGAAACGGTTGAAGGCGGTAGGTTCAGTCATGATACACATGGAAACGAGACGAGGCGGGGCAAAATCCGGGGAGATCTCAATCACTGCGCGTAGTTCGGCAAGCGCACGACTCGGAGTTGCATCCGGAAGGATGCCTGATTGGAGGATGGAAGGGTGCGCTAAGAGACAGTGTGTGCCGAAAGAGAGGCAGACGGCGGCTCTCGCAACTTCCTCTGATGGTGAGGCGCCGAAACGGCGAAACGCTCGATGACAGGCTAGAGCGCGGATTTGGGTGGAGGGGGCGATCGCCCCGAGACCTCCGTGACGGGTGGAGTTAGAGGCGATTGGGGATGAGGCGGACCGCAAGGCCATGTTTCTTGAATTGAGAGGAGGAGAGGAAATTCCCTACCAAAACATCAAGGCGCTTGATGATGTTGGGGGAAGGGGGTTGAAATCGGCCAGGAAAGGATAGGATGGAGTTTAAGAAGACCGATGCAAGGGACTTGCGACATGTAGCAGTGGCACGGAGGGCGGCGAGGAATTTAGCTGTGCGCTGAACGCGAGAGAGAGTCGTGGACCAGGTAGTGGCGCCAGGTTGTGCACGTTCTACGTAGATGCCGAGAATACGTTCTGCCTCATATGGGGTACGAATGGGAATGGGGCCAGCAAGGAGGATGAGTTCTGGTGCAATGCGGAATGGGATAATTGAGCATTTATTCCAGTTGGGGTGCTCTCCGGAGACAGCAGCAAAGTTCCGGAGGTGTATAAGTGTAGTCCCAAGCTCCCTGACTGAAGTGAGGAATATAGTGACATCATCAGCATAGCAAGCCATCAGACGGCGTTGGGTTGTAGAGAGAGGGAACCCCAGGAGGAAGAGGGAGAGATAGCGTTGGAGGATTTCGATGACGCACACAAACAGGAGGGGGGCCAGAGGGCAACCCTGTCGGACCCCAGTTCGAACGGGGAAGGTGGGGCCAGCGAGGTTATTGACAGAGATGCGGGTGGAGGTATTGGTGTGCATGAGGCAGACCCAGGCGATGAATTGCTGAGGGAGTCCCAACAGAGTGAGTGCTCGGAAGAGGAAGGCACGGTCGACCAGATCGTAGGCTTTCCGAAAGTCAACGGTCAAGGCAAGCACGGGGGTCTTAGTGATAGTGCTCCAGTCGAAGATGTCGAGTGTATCATTGATCGTATCGCCAATTTTTCTGTTCTTAATAAATGCAGTTTGTGAGGGGTGAATGATCAGAGGGAGCGCGAGTTGCAGCCGATTGGCAAGACACAAGGCCAGAATCTTGTAGTCCGAGTTCATAAGAGTGATGGGGCGAAGGTTCTCTGCAGAAGAAGGGTTTCCCTTCTTGGGAATTAGGACGGTGCGGCCAGAGAGCATTGACGGTGGAAGGGCTTCAGAGATGGGAGGAGAGGAAAAAGGTGAGAAGAAAGCAGGAGCGAGAAGGGTTTTATGTTGTTGGAGAAGTTCTCCGGGGATGCCGTCGAGGCCAGGGGTTTTGCCACGGGAGAGTTGCCCTATAGCTTTGTTGATTTCTATAAGAGAGAAGGGAGATTGCAAGTGGTGGAGGAGTCGAGGGGGGAGTGAAGAGGGGGGGATATGTGCCCAGAAGGCAGGGTTAGGCATGTTGGAGTAGGCTAGAGCTCGCTCTGGCCTTTATTTTGGTGTTCTTATATTGTTATTTCTCTGGGCTTAGAGCGAGTTACGCACTCAGGTTCATTTTAGGTTCATTTCATAATTGTTAGAACAAACCGAACACACCCTAGGTTCAATTAGGGTTTCCAACCCTCTCTCTTTTGTATCTCGACATTCTCCTCCTAGTTCAACTTCTTCAACCTCACCAAAGCCTCTCGCCATCCATGGCTTTCCTTACTTTAACAAGGCACGCCCGGGGTCGCACCGTTATAAAGGGAGCGGAAAAATCTTGTGCATTCAGCGGTCATGGCGTGAAGATCAGAGGTGGTTTGTCCATCAGCCAAAGTAAGCGAGGATATTAGTGAGTCTTTGATGCGGGAGTTAAGTCCCGCCAGTAGGGGGGAGATTCCCATCTCCCTATGACCCTCGACTTTGAGCTTTGCTTTTAGGGCGATCTCTGCGGTTTTAGAGGACTCGTATCTTGTAAGTTGATGACGGGCTTTGAGGAGTTGTGCGGACTCTACTTGGTCAAGGGGAGAGAGGGCGGATTGGAGTTGGAGGCGGCTGATGAGTTGAACGAGATGCTCGGTAGTACCTGAGACTCGTTTGCGCTCTTCGTTCGAGAACTGTTTGAGACTGAGGATGAGGGCTTGTTTCCATGAGTCCCATGCCTCCGCGGAAGGGCGTGACGGCAGGGAGGGGAGGTGAGATTCGATTATGGTAGCGACTTGGGGACGGGGGAGGAGGGAAGAGCTAAAACGCCAGGGCCGCGGAGCCATGGCCGGGTTGTCGAAGGTGAGGGTGCAGAGGGGGGCAAAAGAGTGGTCAGATACGTCCTCGGGGGTCCAGAGGTAGGAGGATTCGGAGATCCGTGGGAGGAGGATACTGGAGAGGTAGATACGGTCAAGTCTAGAGGCGGGTGGGAGGGTTGAACCGGCACTGGCCTGACGACCGAAGAATGAAAACACGGGGGTGTCAGGGTGGAGTGAAAGGTACGTGTCGCAGAGTGTGTGCGTCGAAAGGAGGTTGGACACCGTGGTGGCCTCGCTAAGTTCGTGGCCGAGCAATGGGCGGTTGCGGTCTAACGGGGAGACTACCGAGTTAAAATCACCAGCAAGTATCGTAGCAAGAGATGCGGAGGGTAGTTCCAGTGCTTGGGTCAGGATGGATCTCCACCAAATCCGACGGTCGGTGGCCGGTCTCGGCGCATATATAGCGACGAGGCGCAGTTGCTCGTGCAGGAAATTGATATGTACAGAAAGGAGGCGGCCATCGGCGGAGGGGGATGGGGAGGTGAGAGAAATTGCACGATTGAAAGAAAGGACGGAGATGCCGCCAGGTTGCGGAATGTGTTGGCCTTTTGAATTCACTGCGTATAGGGTGGGAGCATGAGCTGAGGAGTGAGGCCGAAGCTGGAGGGAAAGTCGGGGAAGGTTTTTTTAGAGTCGTGTATCCACTAAAATGAGGATGTCAGTGAGGGGAGGCTTGGACAGCCAGCGTTTTAGAGCGTTTCGTTTGACCGGCGTATTGATACCATTGATGTTCAAACAGCGTATCCGTAAAGGCGTTCACATTTTGATGAGTGTAGGCCCACTGCACAGTAGGGTGCGCGGATCCACGGGCTAAGGTGCGTATGTGGGATGTCGAGAGATTGACTGAGGGTATTGAGAGAGCGATAAGCAGTTGGTACTATCTGGTTGCAAACTTGCTGCCAGCTAGATAGTAAACAGGGTTCCAACGGCTGGTCAGAAACGCATGTCCAAGGAGAGAGAGGATTGCTTATAAGGGCACGGTTGGTGCCTTGTCCGATGTGTAGGAGGGTGATTAGGCTAGGACGAATGGTTGTTACGCATAAAGGGGCGTCTGTAATATGGGACAGATATTTGTGAGTTGTTTGCTGTATTATTTGCTCAAGCTTGTAGATTGGGGTGGCGGCCAAAGATGGTACGTGCAGAATTATAATAATGATGAGGACAATAGAGCACGACCAGACCAGAGATGACAGAAATGCATACACTGATTGGAGGCCAGGCAAAGGGGGCAAACAAGACAGGACTAGCCAGCGGCCTCTATCAAGACAAACATGCATTGGCGCTAAGTTCAGCCACGGAGAAAGGCAGCAATCTGAGGCTTCTGCTGCATGGTGAGGGCGCGCCAAGGGCCGAAAGCTTCCTTGGCTGCCGGGCGGTGGACCGTAGCCTTCACACGGGTGGTGTGCTCGTCGGACTGAATGTGGTCCATAGCGCTGTCGAGGGCAGCGCCGCAGGTAAAATCGCAGAGGGCGCATGTCCAGGTTTCGACTTGATCGTCCAGCCCGATGAAGAGGAGGCCGGGGTCGTTGCGGAAAGCGGTCGGCGCGGCGTGGTTCCCCAGAATATTTCCTGTGAGATAGGGAGCGTTCATGGGGAGGAGGGGGGTGCGGAGGTGGCACGGGGGAGGACAAAAATCCAGGTGTAGGGGGGCAGGGGGAGAAGGTGGTTTGGGGCAGGTGGGGGTGGTGAGGGAGAGGTTTGAGAGGGGAAAGTCCGTGAGGGAGACGTGGCTGCGCGGGGAGGGAGGTGCAGGGAGGGGGGAGAGGCGCGGGGAGGGGACGGGGGTAGGTGAGAGCCTGGTCAGAGGGAGAGAGGAGGCCGGGGCGGAGGAAAGCAACCTGTTTGGGCATGGTGAGGGGTAGTATGGGGGAAGGGGGCTGACGGGGTGATAGCCTGGTCCTTGACGGGGTGGGGAGCAAGGAGGGAGATGTAGGGGGCGAAAGGGGGGGTAGTTGGCTGGGGGCAGGGAGGGCGAGTTCCGGTGGGGAGGGTTGCCTGCAGGGGAAGGAGGAAACAGTGAAGGGTTGCAGGAGAGGGGTGGGCTCGAGGGGAAGATGGGGGCCGACAACAAGGGGGGTACGGGAGGGAGTGTCGTGGGGGGAGGGGATGGAGTGGGAGGGGAAGATGAGTGCGTGGGAGGGGGGGTGGTATCGGGGAGCAGAGGGGGCGAGGGGGGGTTGGTGATATGGAGGGAGTTCATGGGTGGGCGAGGGCCCGAAGAGGAGGGAGCCTGAGGGGGGGGGGAAGGCACATGGGGTGGGGAAGACTGCAATAATGGAGGGAAACGTGCGTGGGTTGGAGGGGGAAAGGAGGGAGTGGAGGTACGGGGTGGGTGGGTGGGTGTGGGGGAGCCCTACGACGGGGGGGGGCGGGTAGAAAAAAGGTGAAAGGGAGAGGGGGTTGGCAGGAGAGAAGGTCCAGAGAGGAGAGGCAGAGGGCTCTGGATGGGTGGTGAGAGGGGGGGAAACGGGGAGAGGGGGCAGAAACAGGTTGAGTAAGGGGATGGCCGGGGCCTGGGCGATCGGGGGGCACGGGAGCAGAGGGGAAAAGGGGGAAGGGGGTGTAAAAGGGGACAGGGGCGTTGGAAGGTGAGCGCGGGGGAGGGTGGGGAAGAGTTTAGTTGGCGGGCGAGGAGAAAGGGAAGCGTAGAGGGGGTGGGAGGCATGGAGGGGAGCAGGGGGGAAAGTTAGAAGGGGAGAAAGGGAGCAAGCTGGAGGTGAGGAGTGACGGCAGGAGCGAGGGAACATAGTCACAAAAACTGAGAGAAGATTTTTCGTACCATTTGCCAGCTGCAGTTGCACAATGGAAATGGTGTTCCGGTTCGTGAGGCGCTGACGGCGGCGGGCTGCGAACGCCGCATGATCGGATGCGCGATGGTTGTTGGAGCAGAGTGCGCACACGTGGCAGGAGAAGTTCAGGAGCATAGGAGGTTTGTTAGCCTCCAGCAGGATTTCGGATGGAATGAGATCGAAATGAGGGTCGTCAGGGGTGGCAACGGGGAGCCCAGCGAGGTGAGTGAAGTAGGTACCCTCGTAGGGGTCAGAGGCGCGATGGAAGTTGGTCAAGTCGGCGAGCCAATGTGCACCGTCCGGCTCGGTGGAGTTCAGGAGGAAGGCGCGGATGTCCTCTGGCGCGTACTCCATGGGGACGTTACGGATAGAAAGGGTGGGAGTGCCTGCAGCCTTAGCCGCAGTAAACTCTTCGAATCTGTCCACAGACTCCTTGAGCAGAACGGGGCGGGCGTTGGGGAGTTTGAGCGAGAGGGGGAAAAGCCTGCGGAAGGCAGTTGCGTCCGCCTGCGACGGCCATGAAAACTGCAGGCGGCCGTAGACGCGACGGGCCATGCGGAGGGGATCACTGACGGTCTGCTCGAAAGGCGGGATGGTGCCAGCTTCGAACATGAAACCGCACAGCATCGCGTTGATGCCTGCAAAGATCGCAGTGCGGTGCGCTTCCAGCTCGGCTTCAGGGAGGAGGAGGGACACGACCACGCGGCGGCGCTGAGGGAGCAGCAAAGGGGAAACAGCGGTCAGACGTGCGCGGCGGAGGTTGTGGGGGGGGGTACCCGGGAGGGGCGAGGCGAAGGGAGAGGTGGGCAGCCCAAGGGACGGGTTTGAGCCCGAGGCGACGGACGCGTAAGCGGCAGCGCGGCCTGCCGGGGCGCTGGGGGCGTTAGCGGTGGCTGTCTGCGAGGGCGGGGGGCCACTCGGCTGCACGCTGGAGGCAGCAGCAGCGGAGGCTGCAGGCAGGCGCGTCTGATGCGCCTGGGCCGATTCGAGGGAGGCGGTGATGTTGGTGGAGGGGGAGGAGGGGGAGTGGCTAGCGCCAGCGTCGAAGCACGGTTTTTTGGCGACGGGGAGCTCAGCAGAGTCAGCAAGGTGATCGATCAGGCCTTCGGGGAGGTCATCAACCAGGAGGTCTTCCCCGGATGCGACGAGGGCCTCCTCTTCGGCGGCGGACATAGTCTGGTCGGAATTGTAGGTCTGCTCAGCCATAGTGCAAGATGAGAAGGAGAGTTGTGGATGATTAAAAGGGTTGAAGTGAATGCGAGAAAAGGAAGTAGGTCTGTTATATATAGAATAGAACGGCAAGACTCCGAGAGGGGAAGGAGGGGTAGGGAGGGTGGCGGACAACAAGAGCATCTGACGAGCAGGAGGGGGCAGGGATTCTTGGGAGAAACGTGGGTGGGGGGAGGGCGGGGGGCAGGCAGGAAAGGGATGAGCGGGGAGAGCGGGGGGGGTAGGGAAGTTACGGAAATTGCGGCGCCGTGGCGAGGAAATTAAGGCCATGAAACAGGGCTGGGAGCCTAGTTGGCTGCCCGAAACCCGGGACCTTACGAGGGTCCAGACGCATGCAAGCGTGGGATGAAACTGGCGGCCTAGGCGGCGCGCCGAGCTTCCGAGCCATGGTAGAGGCACAGCCGGAGGTGGCCAGGGATAGAGCCGAGGAGTGGCAGCGCCAAGATGGCAGGACGCGGGAAAGGAGCTGAAAACGGGGGCGCCTCGAAGGTTGAGGCACGAAACGGAGAGGAGGAAGAGGCGAGGAACCAGGAAAGGCGGTCCGTAGGAACGAAGGGATTCCGCCTGAAAAGGGGGAGGAAAAGCCAGGTTGAGTTTAGCAGGCGATCTAGAGTGTGAGCTGACGTGACCGTCTTTCGTGATTGTTGTGAAGAGGGGGGTTGGGGGAGGGCGATCAGTTGGTGTGGGCTTCGAACTTGCACAAACGAGGGACCTGGGAGAAGGGGAAGCGAAAGGGGGAAAGGGGGGGTTAACGTGGTGGGTTGGATGGCGTGGCAGAGGTGCGTTGGCAGGATAACGTGAGGGTTTGTGGAGGAAATTACGGCGAGGAAATGGAGTTGCAGTTGCATCGGGAAAATTTACTTGGCGGGAAAGTTGTCCAGGTGTGTTGAAGACGAGAGATTGGGAACGTTGAGCGGGGAGAGCTTCAGCGGTTAAAAGCGATGAGAAAGGGGCTGAGGAGGGGACGAAATCTTGCTTGGGAAGGTGTGAGATGCGGTGTAGGGAGGAGAAAGCGAAAACCGTTAGAAAAGGAAAAACGAAAAGCAGCAACTTACCTGGAAACGAAGCTGAGTCGAGTAGAATGAACCTGCCTAGACGGCGTAGGGTTTGACCAGTTTCGCTGCCGAAAGGGCGGAAAGTTGGGGCCGCGAAGGCCATGGTGTATTTTGTTTTGAATTTTGTTGAGGAGTAATCCTCCTGTCGTGGTGGGGCGACTTGCAATCGCTTCTTCAATTTGTGGTTGCATGTCAGAACTGTCGGAGAGATCTAGGGCGTGGAGCGGTTTGGGCATGAGATCAGGGCGTGAAACTCGAGCCAACCGCATGCTCTCCACCATCACCAATAGCTCCCGACATAAGCTTGTTGTCAAATCGAGTGAAAAAAAAAAAAGAGGAGTATAGGCAGATTCTGTTGTGTGATGTAGCTGGTATATTGATGGTCATGTGCAAAGCTGGTTAAATGCTACGAAGCACATTGGACAGTAAATTAACCAGTATAGAAATAAAATCAGACGCATCTCTAAAAAAAAAAAAGTACAATCATTGTTTCAAAATTCAAGGTACATGATGGGTCAAAGTTTAGGATGGAAATATTGAAGAAATTACAAACGGAAAACGGTTAGCTTTGTGAACAAGACACCACAGCCAGTCAGCTTGTCCATCTCCTCCACCCTTCACTTCCCTCCCTCGGTTTTTACGAGCCGCCGCCTGCCACCATCGCGCCTGACACTCCCCCCTCCGCCCACCCCACCGCAAACCACCCTCCCTCGATTTGCCCTCTGGCTGGCGGCGCAGCAATCCTCGCTTCCTCTTCTGCATACACTCTCCACCTGGTAACTTCTCCCGCTGCTCCCTCGCTCTCTCCTCGTCCATGCCGCCTCAGCCCAGTCACAGGTACGCCGCCACGGCTCGCAGCAAGGATCCGCCGCCTGTCCCGCCGCAGGTGAAGGCCAGAAAGCGGCGCGGCACGTGGGGCTTCGGACGACAGCGGCCCGGCGCGTCGAAGGTCCGTGCTGCTCGCTGCGACACCTTTGAATGCGAAATCTAGTGTAACACATACACCTGCTGCGATGTTGTGGGAGGCTTTCGTCGACGAATGCCATCCATTCACCACTCTCCATCCCCCGCGCCCTCCATTCCGCCCATCAGGTCCTCCCGTGCGCGGCAGCGCTCGCCGCCTTCCTCGCGACGCTGCTCCTCGCCTCCGCCGCCGCCTTCTGGCTCGGCGCGCAGCCCGCGACGGAAGCGCTCCTCCGCTCCCTCCTCGCGCCCTCCGCCGCTCCCTCCGCGCCGATCAGTGCCGACGGCGGCGCACCTTCCGCGCGGATCAGCGCGGAAGACGAGCCTGGCAATGGCGAGTCAGTTGCTGGCGAGCGTATCAATGGCCAGTCTTCTGAGGGCGAGTCAGTTGCTGGCGGAGGCACGCGGGGGACTGAAGCTGCAGCAGCGTCCTCGTTTGGGAGTGATTCTTTTCTGCTAGAGGAGAGCGCGTCCGAGCCTCGCATTCTGGAGTTTGATCTGATCAAGACGTACCCGCACGACAGGAGGGCATTCACCCAGGCATGTTCCTGTCAGGCTCCCTTGCTTTCTACTCACGACTCTTCCCATTCTGGTCACAACGTACCTGCACGACAACTGACCCTTCACCCAGGCACGCTCATTCCAGCCTCGTTGCCCTGTTTTCTCCCTGTCCGTCTGCAGCCCAATCGGAGGGCGTTTGATCTGGCTATCCGCTATCGCCCATGCCCTGGGCTCCCTTCCCTCACCTCTCACCTCTCTCTCCCCCCCAGCGTCTCTTCCTCTCCTCTCTTCTCCCTCTCTCGTCCAACCCCCCTTTCCCATCTCTCCCCCCAGGGACTGCTATACATGGACCGTGAAGCGAGTGGGGGGAGGGGCAGCGGCGAAGGGGTGTTTTATGAGAGCACGGGGGAGTATGGGCGGGTGAGTGGGGGGATGTGCATGTGTGAGTGGGGCGTGCACGTCTGGATGGCCGGCTCAAGGGCAAGAGGGAGCATGACTGTGTGACTTGGTTGGGAAATAGGGGGATTCACACCCATCTAGGCGCGTGCAGAGTCACTGTCCCTCTCTGCATTTCCGTGGTCTTTGAGTCTGCCCAATTCGTCCCTCCTGCATCACCTTGTGTTTCATCCTTCCTTCTCCCTGTCCCCTCTTGTCTCGGTCCCCCCTTTCCCCTGCCTCCCCTTGTCCCCATTCCCCCGTGTTTCTGTTCCCAAATGCTTCTCCCCGTGCCCCTATCCTCTTTTCCCATGCACCTCCTCTTCTTCCCATGCACCTCCTCTTCTTCCCATGCAGTCGACGGTGAGGGAAGTGGATGTGGCCTCTGGTGAGGTATGCTGCATGCCATGGCACATTGCATGGGCATGGCACGGCACGGCATGGCATGACATAGAATGGTGCGACACGCCATGTCATGGCATGCCATGGCATGGCGTGGCATGGCGTGGTATGGTATGGTGATGTTGCGGCATGTTCGCCTACACTACCATATGTGTCACCACAACACCTGTGGCATTGTTCCACGTTGTGGCATTGTGTGCCCTCTCATGTAGGGTCCAGCTCGGTTGGCTGTGTATATAGCTTGGTGAAAGGTGGTAAGGCACAGCAGGAACGGCCACTTGAGTTGACACCTCCCACATTCTTTCCACTGCTCTGCATGTGCCTTCTCGCTCCCTTCCCAGGTGCTCAACAGCGTGCCTCAAAGTGCTGACGTTTTCGGCGAGGGCCTTGCGCTGCATAATGACAGGTACAGTGCAAAACAGCGCATAGTTTTCTGTATAATACTTTTATTGTTTAAACTAGTACTATGCACAGTAGCAGGTGCACTGCACAGTAACAGGTGTGCGAGCCAGGCTGTACCAGCTGGCTTGGCATGCCAAGTCAGAGCTCGTGTATGACAGGAGACACAACTCTCACATCCCTTTGCACCGCTCTTTATCATTTGGCCCCGTCGTTCCTGCCTCTGTACCCCTTTGTGGACCGCACAGGCTATACCAGTTGGCCTGGCGGGTACGGTCAGGATTGGTGTACGACAGAGAGACTCTGCAGCCCCGGGGTGAGATAGAGAGGGTAAATGGGATAGCGGATGGGGGGTGTTATGGGTATGGGGAGTGGATGTTGGATCTCTTTCATATGTATAATGTAAGGCGTCACATGCCGCTCAGCACTCTGCCAGTCGCTGCCATGCCATGCCATGCCATGATGTGCTACGCAGTGCCACGCCATCTCATGCTGTACTGTGTCATTCGGTGTCACTTTTGAAAAAACTCTCAAAAGCACTCCTCCTGTTCTCTCTTATCGCCTCGCATCCCTGCTCTTCTGTTCACCCTTTCTGCTTGCAGGCAGCTTCCAACACGGTATGGCGGACGGGTGGGGCCTGGCAGTGCTGAACGAGTCGGTCATGGTCGGTACTGACGGCTCCTCCACTCTCTTTCATCTTGAATCCTCGTCCTTCAAAGGTGAGATATAAGACTGGATTTTAGCCGCCTTAAAGGTCATTTGAGGCAACTTTTGAGGTGCTGCAAGACTTGGGAGTGGTGGGGGCTGGCTGGCAGTGCTAAACGAGTCAGTTATGGTCAGCACTGACAGCTCTTCCACGCTCTTCCACCTCGACTCATCATCTTTCAAAAATGAGAGTAGAGCAGCTTTGAGCCGCCTCACAAGTTTGGAGGCGAGTGGTGAGGCGCCTCAGAACTCGCACGGGTGGGGCCTGGCAGTGCTGAATGAGTCAGTCATGGTTGGCACTGATGGTTGAGAGGTCCCTTCGAATCACCATAGCTTCCAGTCAGCACTGACGGCTCCTCCACCCTTTTCCAAATCCTGGCTCTCATCCTTCAAACCTTTGCTCTTACTCCCCTCAGATCTCCCCCGCTGTCTCAGCCAAAGCGCGGGTGACAGTGAAGGACAGCAGGAGGAGCATATCGAATTTGAACGAGGTGGAGGTAGTAGGGGGGCTCGTGTGGGCCATCGTGTGCCCCTTCCCGCTTCCTCCTTCCCCTTCCCCCCTCACTGTCCCCCTACCCGTCCCGTCCCCATTCCCTCGACTGTCTCCCTCATTCCAGCCAAAGCGCGTGTGACAGTGAAGGATGGCGAGAGGAGCATTCCAAACCTGAACGAGCTGGAGGTGGTGGGGGGGCTCGTGTGGGCCAACGTGTTCCCCTTTCCCCTTCCTCCCTCCCCTTCCCCCCTCACTGTCCCCCCTACCCGTCCCGTCCCGCTTCCATTCACTGTCTCCCTCATTCCAGCAAGAGCGCGCGTGGCAGTGAGGGACGGCGAGAGGAGCATACCAAACCTGAACGAGCTGGAGGTGGTGGTGGGGCTCGTGTGGGCCAACGTGTGCCTCTTTTCCCCTTCCCCTTCCCCTTCCCCTTCCCCTTCCCCTTCCCCTTCCCCTTCCCCTTCCCCTTCCCCTTCCCCTTCCCCTTCCCTTCTCCCTACTCCGCCTCCCCATTCCCCCTCATCTGACCATCTCCCTCATTCCAGCCAAAGCACGCGTGACAGTGAAGGATGGCAAGAGGAGCATTCCGAACCTGAACGAGTTGGAGGTGGTGGGGGGGCTCGTGTGGGCCAACGTGTGGCTCTCCAACTGCATCGCCGCCATCCACCCCGACTCTGGCCAAGTGCTCGCATGGCTGGACCTCTCCTCCCTGCAGTGAGTCGGTGTGGGTGTGGCTTCACCCACCTCCCCCCCATGCAGTGAGTGGGGTGTGTGGCTCCCTGCTGGCACTAGTCGGCCTCCCTGCTGTGTACCTGCCACTCGATCTGCGTTGGATAAGGAGCCCAACTAGTGCCACTCACTTGCTTCCCAATGTGGCATGCTAGTTCGTGTCGTGCTGCAGCCGTCCCACAGCTCCCCATGTGCGCTACTGCTCCCCTGCACCCATGCCTCCGCCCATCCCTGCAGGCGGCAAGCCGCTGCAAGATCAAACGAACTCAACGCACGTGTAAGTGGGAGTTGTAGCGTTCTCTGAAATGCTTTCTGCTCCAGTGGTCTAGGTTTCACATTTCTGTTTCCTTGAGTCCTGCCAAGATGAAGTGTATACGGCATGAGTCATATGGTGTACGCATGGAGGGCCGCATGCATGAAAAATCTGATGCATGAGAGATCATTCTTTCCATGAAAGATTGTATGGATGAACTGAGAATCCGACGCACCTGTGTGGCTGCTGTGTTGCCTCTCTCAGGAATTTGACGTGTTGAACGGGATCGCATGGGACTCCAAACACAACCGCCTTTTCGGTATGTAGAAAGGTCCCAGGAGATGTATCTTGTATCTCAGCTTCCCATCTCCTCCCCACGCCTTGCTCTCTCCCACCCACCTCTCCCTTCCCCTACCTCCACCCCGTCCGGCTCTTTGAGCTGCTCTTGTTTCGTTGACATCCACTCTGTTTTGCCTGTTCTGTCATTTGCAGTGACGGGAAAGTATTGGCCACTCATGTTCCACATCACGCCAAGAATAGCCCCGCTAAAAGCTACCCCAAAAGAGCAAGCTGCGGAGTTGAAGCAAGTTAGAAAGGTGTGTCAGCCTGCAAGACAATATTTCACATAGGTTGGCTGTAGGTCAAAACTCAACGCTATGCAGCCTCTAATTATATAAACATATCAGGCGTCTCGAGGTCCCTTTGTGTATGCTTCACCTTTTTATTGTTGCACCGCGCCTCAAAGAACCATCCACTGGACCCCACCCCACCACGGTGGGGTGGGTGGGCTATCATCATCATGTACCATCATGAACAGTGTCGTGGTATGCGCCACCAGGTACAGGCAGGAACCTGTCGCATTGCATGTATGGTGGTGCACCTTGTAGCGAATCAAGTAGCAAAGCAAGCCATTCTGCTGCTATTCCAGGTGGTGTGGTAGTGGAGTGGAGTGGTACTCTTTCAACCAAAATCACTCCAAAGCCCTCTTTCCTCAGCTGAGCACCTGCCCTCCCTGCTCCCACCCACTGCCGTATAATTGAACCACAGTGCCATGACACACAGTGCTCGCACTTCTGCTTTTATCATCAATAATAATGGCATAAATATACAGAGAGGAGACACGGAAACAGATCCTATCAGAGGCAAGGCAGGGCACCAGCACTCTTGTCGTACCGGGCCTGCCGGGCCTACCGAGCCTTCCGAGCCTGCCGGCTCAGCAGGCAAAATTGGTGACCAACATCCCCTAGCCTAGTGATCAGCTCCCATGCCTACACCACCACCATCGAAAATGCTACAGCGCTATCATTCCTATGTGTCTGTTAATGGTCAGCTTCTGTCCACCCCCATCCATCTCCTCCTCCACCCGCTCCCCGTGCAAGTCCCCACTCCCCTCCCTCCCCCTGACTGACCATGATCCTGCTTCTTCTCCTCCCTCCTCAACGTCACACCTCTCTCCGTCCAACCCACTCCACCCTACTGCACCCCGCCGCGCCTATCTCTCCGTGCGCGCGGCTTCCGCGGGCAGCAGCAGCAGCGGGTCGACAGGCGACCCGTGCCGGTGAATCTCGAAGTGCAGGTGCGGCCCCGTCGAGTGCCCCGTGTTTCCCGACAGCGCGATCGCCTGCCCCTTCCCCACCGCCTCCCCCTTCCGCGCCACGAACCGGTTACAGTGCGCGTATAGTGTTGAGTACCCCTTCCCGTGATCTACCACCACCACGTATCCGTACCCCTTCCGCCATCCCGCGAACGAGATTCGCCCCGCCTGCGCCGCGACCACCGGCGTGTTCTCCTCAACGGCTATGTCGATCCCCTTGTGGAATTTCTTGCGCGCCTCGCGCCACCCGTAGCGCGACGACAGCCACCCGCCGGTGACGGGGAGCCCGAACGGCCCTACCGTCGCCGCGATCCGGCTGCGCTGCGCGAAGATCCCGCCGGGTACGGCGGGGAACTCGGACGCGGAAGCGGCGGCGGCGGCTGACGCGAGCGGGTCGCCTCTGTGGCCCAGCCGCAGCGACGCGGGGTCGATAGCCGCGGTCGCCAGGGTGTTCAGCGCCGCCGACGCGGCGGCCGCCGCGCGTTGCGGCGCGGCGAGGATATGACCGTCCACGTAAACGGACTGGACATGGATTAGGGTCCAGGGGGAAAAGGCAGGGACAAGGGGTGAGAAAAAGAACGGGGGCGCCAGATATCTTAGACGGAAATTGGGGGCAATGCAACTGGAAATAAAAGGACAAGAGTGCTTGTAGGGGAAAATGTGTAGGATTTGGAGACAGGCAGCACAGGATTAGCCTTCGCAGGATCGGGTTAGGGTGACAGCAGGGCCGCTTACAGGTGGCAGCAGCGCCGCGAATTGCTCCTTGCTGAGGTCCCTCTCCAGCCCCAGCGCGTGCGACACGATGCGACTCGTCAGGGTCGCCACCCCTCGACTTAGTCGCCCGTGCGCCGCCGCCACTGCACGTCACAGAGGAACGGGAGAATCGCGCGTGAGTGGGAGAGAAACTAGTGATAAGCGTGGCACGTGGCAGTGCAAAGGGAGGTACGAAGGGAGGAGGTTTCAAGATACGATGCGCGTGCGACACGATGCAACGCGCGCGGGCTCGGGCTAGAACAAGCTGGGAACATACGCTGGCGGAGGGGCTCGCCTTGCGCTCTCGTTAGAAGCTGCGTCGCCGCAGCGGATAAAGCCGCCTGCGGATCCTGTGAGAAGAGAGCGAGGCAAGATCGTCAAGGGGAATGGATAGGCCGAATGCGAAACGGACAAGAGCGGTGATCAGCGCAATATGAAATCAATGGTACATCAGACACGGGATTTGGAACTGTTAAGACTGGTTCAGGGTGGGACCTCACCTTTAACGACGACGCGAGCTTCGTCTGTTTCTCGAGCGCCGTCAGTCGTCCATGCACGAAGCTCGCTGCTCCCGCAACTAGCCTGTGTTCTCTAAGTCGCGTCTCTACACTCTCAAAGCTCGTCTGGTTTCCTATCGACAGGTTCCTAAGACTGCTAGCTAATCTACTCGTCGCGCTGACCGCCGGCTCGACGAGCAGATCGAGGCTCGAGGGGTTGGGCGGCCATTGGAACACGAGGACCGGTTTCCACCGCACCTGCTTCACGCGACACACCACCGTGATCTCGCCACTCCGACCAATCACGAAGCTCGACCGCGCCTGCTCGTGCGGGTACCGCACGCAGACGTCGATCGCGGGCTCCGCGGCGCCCTCGCTCCTTCTGCATGCGCGGAGCGTGATCGGCGCCGCGTCATGCCTCGGCGACGATATCTGGTACGAAGTCGACATGCTGTGAGAAATGCTAGATGCGATTCCCGCAAAGGTGCTGGAAAGCAAAAACTTAAAAAAAAAAACAAAAGGAACGAAAAATCTAGCAGAGAAAGCAAATGTTAGAGAAGCAGTAGTTAATGGATAGCCGATAGATCAGTGACAACTTTCTGCAACAATACGAGAGCGTGGTAGGCGGCTAGATATGTGGCACTGAAATGGCGCCACTGATGGTAGTGGCTGGTTTTATGATGGGAAATGGATGTTGGGATTTGGGAAGTGGGTGATGGTGCGACGGTTTGAAGCGAATGCCGCATGATTCGCGTGCGCCGCATGGCAGGTGTCATAATGATCGCACAAGTGGTTCGGCAGCGCAAGACCCCGCACAAGTTTTGAAATCACGAACCTGCAGAGGGTGAAAAATGGCGGGAAAGGTATGTCTGGTTAGGTATGTCATGAGCAGCGTCACATGATGGACAGAGAGTTTTGGCGGCTACAAAGTGACTATGCACTTTTTCATGCCATGCACGCTAGGTTTGGTTTGGAAGCCGGTTGGTTCGGATGGATGCGATGAACTGATGGCTTTCAAGCCGCATCTGGGGGATCATGTTGGCGTTTGACGAATAAGAACGGCCGGCGGACGCGGGAAACTATATCCCAGATCCTTACTTTCAGATTTCTCTCATATTTACCCCCAGGTTTACCCAAATAGTCCAGCTTTGCGGAATTCTGCTCACGCGAGGCCCAAAGTATGTTCAAAACTGGTCCTGCGGGGCAAGACAAAATTTCGACACGTGTCCATTTCGTACCAATTTTTTTTTCTGCTCCCGAAATGTGTCCCGTTTCCCTAGGGGTATTATATTTTTTGTGCCCCGTCAAAGATTGTTGGTGTGAAGTAGACACGTGTCGAGATTTAAACCCCGCAGGACCAGTTTTGAACATAATTTGGGCCTCGCGTGAGCCAAATCCCAGAAAGTGGGACTTTTTGAGTAAACTTGCGGGTAAATATGAGAGAAAGTAAGGATCTGGGATATAGTTTCCCGGCGGACGCAGATCTATCCGAGCTGTCAGAAAGTGAACCCCTGACACGTGTAACGACCTGTCCTCTCCCGCGTTTATCGGGCGGGTGCTGTGAACAATGTGCATAGTGTTTCACTATAGAGTTTTCAAGCACTCAAAATGGAAGTTGAGTCACTGTAAATCGAGGACAGACAATTTTGAAGAATCTGGTCACTTTGTGGAGGTGGTGGACGACGTGGAAGGCAACAAGGGTCTCCGCGTCACCACGACGACAATCTCCATTATCGGTTTGTCCAGCGTGTCCCTCGCGTGCTTCCACGCACTGCCACAGCAGCTTACTGCAGCACTGTCACTCCACCTCAGCCCGCACCCCAAGACACTGCCCCTTTCCTCAAGCATCAAATTCCTCCCCCAACCCCTCCTTCCTGACACCTGACCTCGAGCAGATTCGCCTTCACACTCGAGCTTCCCGTAGCTTCGCAACTTTCGGCCGCCATGTTGACGCTTCCTGTCGCCTCCGTCGAAACCTGCGCGTCCTTCGCCACCTCTCTCGCCACCAACGCCCGTAGCGCCGCTGCTCGTCGCCTCGGCTCGGCTAATTTCCTGGGCGGGCATAAAGGCCTGCTCGCAGCCACCGCTGTGCCAGTCGCGTCCGTGAAGTCTTCTAGGGTTCGTTTCGCACTCCCTCTCCTCCTTTCGCTCGTCGCAACGTTACCGATCGCCCGCTCTGAGCTGATTCTGCAGGAGGTGAATTTCTTCGTGACGGAGCCTCTTGTGTAGCAGTCTCCGCCTGTGAATTTCAGGGATCTTACCTGGCAACTAGTGGAATTCCTGTCAAGCTCAGGAATTTTTCACTCTCTGCGTTTTCCCCCTCTCGACCCTCTCAGCCGGTCACCACGGAATCTCTCTTCTCCTTCGCCGGGTGGGGCAAGCCAGCAGCGCCGATGGCGGCGGCAGGTGTGGCGCAGGAGCCGGACACGGACAACCCCGGCGCGGGGCTGCAGTTCGCCGAGTTCGGCGCGGGCTGCTTCTGGGGCGTCGAGCTCGCCTTCCAGCGGGTCCACGGTGTTGTCAAGTGAGTGCCTGACGGTATCGCTGCATGACGTCCATGCTCTCGCAGATTTCGATGAAATCATCGGGTTAGTATCGCTGGATGATGTGCATCTGTAGCAATCCTCATGTGCTTCTCAAGCTCTGTCCGGAGCGTGGTTACAGAAGAGCCTGGCTGGTCCGATTTCCAGAGAGTCATGTGCATGGTTCCGATAGCCTGTGAATGACCGGCGCCTGTTTCCCTTCTACGCGTGCAGGACGGAGGTTGGCTACACGCAAGGCATCAATGACAAGCCGACATATGAGCAGGTGAGTGGGTCGTTGCGTTTGGTTTGGACTGATTTCCATGTCGAATTTCGTAACTTGTGGACTTGGAGAAAGGACGAATTCATATGAAGCCACGCGAATGGAACGATTATAACAAAAAATATACGCTTTAGAGGTGATTACGTTGATGGCATTTGAATTGATCCAGCGTGTCTACCTTCCCTCGTGTTCAACAGGTGTGCTCTGGGCGCACAGGCCACGTGGAGGCAGTGAGAGTTGTGTATGATCCCAAGGAGGTGTCTTACGAGGGGCTGCTAGATGTGTTCTGGGGCAGGCACGACCCCACCACTCTCAACCGCCAGGGAGGTGACGTTGGCACTCAGTACCGCTCAGGAATCTATTTTTTCTCACCTGAGCAAGAGGAAATTGCAATGAAGTCTTTGGAGGCGAGACAGGCTCAGATTGGCAGGAAAATTGTGACAGAAATTATGCCTGCAAAGAAGTGGTATCCTGCTGAGAGCTACCATCAACAGTATCTTGCCAAGGGTGGGAGGTTTGGCATGGGGCAATCAGCAGCCAAGGGTTGCACGGATCCCATCAGGTGCTATGGCTGAGCTCAGACAGTGATGTTTTTGTTCAGATGTTATGTAAGATATAAAGGATTAATGTTTTGAACTGCAGCTGTACGTTCGTCTAAACTGCAGTGCTCATGCACTTCTCTACACACTATGTTCTTAAGAGCATAACATGTAAATGTTGGTATGTATTGTATTTATGCAACTGACAGTGAAAGATGATTTGTGAAATATGTACATACGCAAGCGCACTAACCATGCCCAGTGACGAAGTCCATATTGAATTGTTATCGCGTATAACATGGCCTCGTCTCTGACCAGCTCTGTTCGCGCTCTCCCCAATCGTTTCGCGCCAAGGCTCTTCCCCAAACCAGTCTGCTAGCTTCGTGCGAAATGCCCAGGGCTCCCTCAAGGCATCCCCAACCCCCGCCAGGTTCGGGGTCCCCTCAGCATCCTTTTGTCAGTCCACCCTGTCTCCTTTCCTCACCTGCCCTCTCGAGAATGGTTCGACTGCGCGCATATGATTCCAGATTCCGAGACGCTTTTCCGGAATCTCGGCAAGTTTCCTCGTCTCTTTTTCCCTGCGACTCTCTCTGCCTTGGAAGATGAGTTGTGTTCTAGAGTCTAGCTTTCGGGACGCATTAGCCTTTAGAATGTGCATCGTAGAAGCCCGCTGCGTGCCGAGAATCAGGGGCAATCGGTGTGTGCGAGTCCAAATGCTTGTCCGTGGGTCGCAGTGGCAGAAGGTAGATGCAGTTCGGAGTCGTAGTTAGGCTCGAATAAGTAGCCTGGCGAGAGAATAGGATTTAGGCAGATTTGAGTTCACGACGGTAGGCAGGTACGATGCAATCCGCAACTGCGATTAGCCAGGTGGCAGCACCTGGTTGGTGCGCAGGTCATGCCAAAGAGCCACCTAGAAGCCATGAGACGAGTAACGATCGCGTGTCGTCAGCTCGCCACGTGGAAGCCGCGCTGCTGCGCTCCTTACACTTGCCGCAGTTTCTCCGCTCCCTACAGCAACACACTCATCCCTCGTTTGAGTCACCTTCGTACGCGTCACATCGCTCCAAATCTCGACCGTCCGCCGTTAAAATGTCAGCAGTGCTAGCTCAATTAGCTCTCTTCCAATCAGAACCGACGAACGGCCACAGGCAGCCTAAGTACGGTCCGCTTATGTTGGTCCAGGATACAGCTACGTCCGAATTCCACGTCTTACCTCCCCAGGCCACTGTAGCAGCACGCACAGCCACGCCATGCCGCCCGCCAGAAGCGCCTGTAGCTATTGCGAACCCCGTTTCCGTTAGGGCCACGTCTGGCGGCGCAGAAAGCGGTGGAGGAGGCGGAGCTAGCGACAATAAGTTCCTGCGGGTGTCGATCCAGTCCGTTGCGCTCGCGCTGGTGTTCGGCGGAGCGGCGGCGTTTCTCCGCATGCTGCTCTCCGCGCTCCCCCCGGACTTCCTCTCGCGCTGGAAAAAGCTGTTCGCGGAGCAGCCTCACTTCGACCCTAAGGCCGCCGTCGAAGCGCGCCGAGCCACCGCCATCTACGACTGCCACGGCGACTTAATTGCCACCGTCGTTCCCGGCGGATTCGGCGGGCGGCGGAAAGACGCTAGCAAGGGGCAGGCGCCGTTGAAGCCAACAGAGGTGCCGGCGGTGATGTGGCAGGCGGTTATCGCGACGGAGGACCGACGGTTCTTTGAGCACCAGGGATTCGATCCCAAGGGCCTGACACGTGCCATTATGTCATTGGCGCGCACGGGAGGCGGGAGTACGATCACGCAGCAGGTGAGGGGGAGATGCGCGGAGATGGCGGACGGGGAGGGTGGTCGGAGAGGGTCGACGGTTGGAGCGGATTGGGAAGGGCGGGTAGGGTGACAGGCGAAGTGCTACTGAGATTCCTGAGAAGCAAGGGTGAACTAGGTGAAGCGTGGAAGGTGGAAGCTGATGGGAAGGGACGCAAACGCTTCTTTTCCCGCCATCACACACGAGCGTCCCGCACGCCAAAATGCTGCTTGCTGTAAACCTTCCCTCGGCGTCGCTGCCCCCCGCATCCCCGTTTCGCCTCTCACCTCCTCACCTGGTGAAGAGCGTGGTTCTGCTGAACAAGCGGAGCCTCAAGACCTCGCTGTCCCCCTTCTTCCCCCCCTTCCGCCCCCCCTTCCGCACCTCTCCTTCCGCAGCTGGTGAAGAACGTGTTTCTATCGAACGAGCGGCGGTGGACGCGCAAGCTGGTGGAGATTATACTGGCCGTGATTATAGAGAGGCGCATGACCAAGTGGGACATCCTGCACCTCTACCTCAATAAGGTCAGCCTCGTCATAGGAGCATTTTGCACTGGGCCCACTGGTTTGGAAGCACACTGCGTGTCTGCTGTCTGTAAGCTGTGTGACGCTTGCTGCCCCCGCTTTTACATCTACTGGGGCTGGAGTCTCACTGCCCCCGCCTTTCTGCTGTCTGCTCTCTGCTGCCTGTCTGTTGTCTCATGCCCAATGTTGAATGCGCGATGCCCTCACTTGTAGATCTACTGGAGCGGTGGTGTGACGGGGCTGCTGTCTCACAGTTCCTCTGCCCCCCTCTCTGCTGTCCCGCCGTCTGTTTGCCTCTATCTGTCTCTTGCCTGTCGCCCGCTGCCCCCACCTGCAGATCTACTGGGGTCATGGCGTGACGGGGCGGGAGGCTCATGGCGTGACGGGGCGGAGGCTCACTGTCACTATGCCCCTTTCTCTGTCTGTCTCTTGCCTGTCGCCCGCTGCCCCCACGTGCAGATCTACTGGGGCCACGGGGTGACGGGGTTGGAGGCGGCGTCAGCGCTCTACTTTGGGAAGCACCCGTCGCTGCTCACGCTGGGCGAGTGCGCCATGCTCGCTGGCATCATCCCCGCGCCCGAGCTGCTCTCGCCCTACCGCGACCCCTCCAGGTGTGTACCACCTGCACTAGGTACCACCTGGGCTTGCAGGTATGCCTACAACCGTCGCTGCTGACGCTGGGCGAGTGCGCCATGCTCGCTGGTATCATCCCCGCACCCGAACTCCTCTCGCCCTACCGTGATCCTTCCATGTAGGTACCACCTCGCAGGCTAGGTGTCCATGCCCATACCCATGCCCATACCCATCCCAACCCCCGCTCACATCCCCATCCCCGCCCTCCTGACCGCCCCTGCAGGCTAGGTGCCTGGGGCACGCGAACTGAGGCGAATGGCGGAAGCTGTTTTTCTGGACATCGCCACGGCCACTGAGGCCATGCAGCTGCTTTGCGCTGGCCCATCCCATGCCTGTGCTCCTTCTAATCCCCATTTCATCCCCATCCGTGCCTCTCTGTTTCCCCGTGCAGGGGCCGCAAGCCACAGGCGCGCGCGCTGAGGCGGATGGTGGAGGCGGGGTTTCTGGACATCGCCACGGCCACGGAGGCCATGCAGCAGCCGCTGAGGCTGGGGTCGGAGGCCAAGCACGGCACGTCCGGGCCGTGGCGAGCGCCCTTCTTCGTCAGCGAGGTGAGCGGTGTGGTGAGGAGGTGGGGGAAGGGGGAAGGGGAGGGGGAGGAAGAGCGGGATTGCAGCAGCCGCTGCGGCTGGGGTCCAAGGCAAGCATGGCACTTCAGGACCTGACGATGCAGGACGCGGGCGAGAAGGTGGTGGGGGACGGCATGCGCGACTGACGCTGACGGCGATGCTGGACCTTACCATGCAGGACATGGGGGAGAAGGTGGTGGGGGATGGCACACGCGACTGATGACTTCTGAGTATGAGTGGGATGAAGTCTGCTGTCTCTCTCCCCCTCTTCCCTCACGCCCTTCTCCTGCTTCCTTACACACCCTCCCCCCACCAACCCTCCTTCCCCCAGGTCCTGTACGAGCTAGCGCAGAAGTACGGGCGCGAGGAGGTGGTGCGGGGCGGGCTGCAGGTGCACACGACGCTGGACCTGACGATGCAGGACGCGGGGGAGAAGGTGGTGGGGGATGGCACGCGCGAGTACGACCAGGAGAGGGAGGCAGCGGCGCAGCGAGACATTGCTGCCATCGCCATGAAGCTGGAGGAGCTGCGGGGGAGAAGGCAGCAGCAGATACTCGCGACCGTGGCTGCTGCTGCTGTCACTCGAAAGGTGGGCTGGGGGTGAGAGAGAGGGGAGGAGGGGAGAGGAGGGAAGGAGTGGGTGGGAGTGGAGGGGGAGCAGGGATTGAGATGAGATAGGGAGGGAGTTGGGGAGTGGGGCCTGCAAATCGAAATGAAAGTGCTTGGTGCTGCATATGATCTACCATGCGTTTCACATGCTTCCACATGCCTCCACATGCCCCATGCATGCGTCCTCATGCCTTACACATGTGTCCACTCCTCGTGCAGGTCAGCAGAGTTCCGCAAGAAGAACGGTCAAACACAGAAGACGTGAGTCCTCTCCCGCTCGAACACCCTTCTCCCGCCCACCCATCTCATGCCTTACACTCCTTCTTTTCTTGTTCCCTGTGCCTGCTGCCCTTTCCTCCCCCTCCTCCCTCACCACCTGCCAGTTCTCGTTCTATCCAAAGCCCACCAATGCTTTCGCTAGCTTTTCTGTTGCCACCCCTCTGACCCCACCCATCCGTGTCTGCAGCATTGTCTCACTCCTCCCCTACCATCTTCTCCTCCCCGCCCCATTTCTCTCCCGGTCCGCCCCCCTTCCACCTCCCAACCCAACCCCATCCAGAGTGTCTCACTCCCCTCCCGTGTCTCATCCCTCCCGTGTCTCACTCCCCTCCCGTGTCTCACTCCCCTCCCGTGTCTCACTCCCCTCCCGTGTCTCACTCCCCTCCCGTGTCTCACTCCCCTCCCGTGTCTCACTTTCCTTTCGTGTCTCACTCCCCTCCCGTTCGCCACCTCCCTTTCCTCGTGTCTCTCCCCCTTCCATCCGCCCTCCCCCCTCTTACAGAGTGTCTGAGATGATGGCGGACGAGACAGCAGCCGTGGCGCGCACGCTCGAGCGATTCGCAGCCACGTGAGTGCCGGAGGCTTATGGTGGGGCGTTAAAAGAGCGGGCGTGGGACAGGATGGGACGGGGCGTGGGAAGGGCGGGCGTGGGAAGGGATGTTTGTCTGTGCAGTGCTGTGCTGTGCTGTGCTGTGCTGTGCTGTGCTGTGCTGTGCTGTGCAACACTCGCCTGTTCACGCCTCCATTCCACCCCCGTTCACTCCCTATTACACATGGAGGCATACTCTGAGGTTCGCAACGATGAATCCTCATTACGTTCTTCCCACTCCCCCTTTACCACCGTGCAGGGAACGCACGCTGACAACCGCCATGCAGCGCTATGAGAACGAGCTCAAGAGCGCTCAGGCTGCCAGGTGGGAAGAGGGGGATGGACGAGGGGAGACGGGGGATAGTGTGGCTGTGAGTGTGCGGTGAGGGAAATGGGAGGAAGGGAGCTGGGTAGGGGGGTCAGGGGAGGGGAAGGGTGGTAGGCACATCGGATTGCTTCATCACATGTTGGGCAAGGAGAGGGTGGTGGTGGGAGGCCGTGGCTGCTGCTACGAGGGCTCTCCATCTCTTGTGTGTTGCCATTTTCCCCTCTCATCAGTGCATTGCTGCATGGTGTGCACTGTGTGCAGGTTAGAAGGAGCCATGGTTGCCATGGACCCCTCTCAGGCGTGGTGAGGATGCTGGTTGGCAGCAGGAACTACTGTGAGAGCTGCCCATGTCTTGAAGCCTCTCTACCTGTTCTGTGTTCCCCATCCCCTTGCCGTCTGCACCGTGCAGGCTAGAAGGAGCCATGGTGGCAATGGACCCGCTCTCGGGCGCAGTGAGAGTGCTGGTGGGCGGCCGCGACTACTACGACAGCTGCTTCAACCGCGCCACGCAGGCCCTCCGCCCCCCCGGCTCCACCTTCAAGCCCGTCGTCTACCTCACTGCACTCGCCGAGGGCATGTGAGTGATTGGTATCTGGGGGTCTCAGGGGTTCAGGGTTCCCGATACAGTTGGGGTTGGGTGAAGGCGCCACCATCCCTCCCCCCCCGACTCCACCTTCAAGCCCGTCGTCTACCTCACTGCGCTGGCTGAGGGCATGCAAGGGCTTTGGGGGTTGGGGGTTTTGGCAATGTGTCGAGTGATGGCCTTGGAACTTGTGGTCTCGGGGAGTGCCCCCCTCCCCCCCCGGGTCCACCTTCAAGCCCGTCGTTGAGGGCATGTGAGTGTTTGGTTTCAGGGGCTTGGCGTTTTAGGGCTTTTGGGAGCGCTGCGGTGAGTGCAGCCGCCCCCCCCGGTTCACGCCCTCACTTCTACGCGCGGATGGACGAGCTGTACGAGGTGAGGGGAGTGCTTTCAATGCCAAGCCTGCTCTAGCCTTTTTCGGCCTATCCTGTCGTACCCTTCCTTCCCCCCTCTCACCACTCCCCTGCGCAGCACCAAGGACTACGAGCCATACGAGGTGTTGGGTTCGCTGCCACTTCTCAATACCCCCGCATCCCTTATCTCTCTCCCCCCCCCCCTTGTCCCCAAGGACTACGTGCTGGTGGACGAGCCGTACGAGGCGGATGAGTGGCTGTGCCACCAAGCGCCTCATATGTGCATCTCTGCGCCCATCCCCATCCCTCCCAGCACCAAGGACTACGTGTTGGTGGACGAGCCGTACGAGGTGGGCGGCTTTGCTCCGGAGAACTACGACCGCAGTTCCCCTCTTGCTTGCTGCACTCCATGCCCTCATCCCCCCACTCTCCCCCGCTCTGCCCCTCTTCTCCCCCCTCCCAGCACCAAGGATTATGTCCTAATTGATGAGCCGTACGAGGTGGGCGGGTTCGCCCCGGAGAACTACGACCGCAAGTTCCCCTCTTGCTTGCTGCACCTCCATGCCCTCATCCCCCCACTCTCCCCCTCCCCCCACTCTCCCTCTCCCCCTCCCCCCAGCACCAAGGACTACGTACTAATAGACGAGCCGTACGAGGTGGGCGGCTTTGCTCCGGAGAACTACGACCGCAAGTTCCGCGGGCCCGTCACACTCGAGGAGTCGCTGCTCAAGTCGCTCAACGTGCCAACAGTCAAGCTCTGCGCTGAGATCGGCGTGGATAAGGTCAGTGTGGTGGTGACAAGGTGCGATTGGTTGATTGCTGTGCATGAGGTGGCTAATATTGGGTGGGATCAGCTGTTGAGTAGTGCAACAAGTTCCGCGGGCCCGTCACACTTGAAGAGTCGCTGCTCAAGTCGCTCAACGTGCCCACCGTCAAGCTCTGCGCTGAGATCGGCGTCGACAAGGTGAGGCTGGCTTGCTGTGCCTAAACAATGCCTTGGAACGGTGTAGACAAGGTGGAAGGTTCTCAAGGCCCGTCATGCTGGAGGAGTCGCTGCTCAAGTCGCTCAACGTTCCAACAGTCAAGCTCTGCGCTGAGATCGGCGTGGATAAGGTGAGGGACGAAGTGGGGTAAGGTGTGTTGCCTTGCATGGAGATGCTTATGTAGAAATGCTTGTTAGTCCCACCATCGATCAAGTCGCTCAACGTGCCACTGAGCTGGGACTATGTGTGCCTCCCCTGTGTGTCTCCCCTCCCCCCTTCCCCACTTCCCCTCCCCCTCCGCCCCCAGGTGTGTCACATGGGGCGCGCACTGGGCATCAAGACCCCTCTCCCCCACGAGCTGGCACTCTCACTGGGGGGCTGTGAGGTGACGCCCCTGCAGCTCACCACCGTCTACTGCACGATCGCTGCAGGGGGGATCTACCACCGCCCGCACCTCATCACACGCGTGGAGTCGTACAACGGAAGGGTGCTGGAAGAAGCCAAGGTGAGGGGGAGGGAGAGGGTGAGTTGCCTGTCCTCGATGGTTGTCTGCCGGCATGAAGAGGTGACGCCCCTGCAGCTCACCACCGTCTACTGCACCATCAGGGAGCGCAGAGACCTTTTACTCAATGAAGCCGCACTGCGTTGAGGCACGTAGAACATGTCTCGTGCGTGCACCGCTCTCCCGCCCTCTCTCCCTGTCGCTGTCAGGTGTGCATGGAGCGCAGGGATCCGGTAGTCGATGAGGCAGCGGTGGGCGAGATGAGGAAGCTGCTGCAAGCCGTGGTGGAGAGGGGCACAGGCAAGGGGGCTCGCAATCTTATGGCATACACCCTCTTGTGCCCCTCCCTCCTGCCCTTTCTCTCCCTCCCCCCCACCAGGTGTGCATGGAGCGCAGGGACCCAGTGGTGGACGAGGCAGCGGTGGGCGAGTTGAGGAAGCTGCTGCAAGCCGTGGTGGAGAGGGGCACTGGCAAGGGCGCGCGCATGGACCGCCCGTGCGCCGGCAAGACGGGCACGAGTGACGGGCACCGCGACTGCTGGTTCGCTGGCTTCACCCCGCAGCTGGCGTGCGTGGTGAGTGTGGGGTCGGTGGCATGGGGTGCGAAGGGGAGTGAGTGGTGGGGTGTGTGGTGGGAGAGTGGGTGAGCTATGTAAGAACCCGATTCTGCTGATGCCCACCGCGACTGCTGCTTCGCTGGATTCACCCCGCAGCTGGCGTGCGTGGTGAGTGTACAGTCTTCATGCATTATTCTCAAGGAGTAGCTGTAACGAAGATAGGTTAACACAAATGGATGTCAGGGTCATCCGAGTCCTCTGTGCGGCTCACAACCCAATTCTGCTGGCAGCCGCCGTAGCTGCCGGCTTGCGAATTCAGTTCGCAGCTGGCGTGTGTGATAGGTGGCGCAGTCTGTAGCATGGAATGGAAGCAAGTGGGAGGGTTCAAACATAGAAAACTCGTGCCTCGCCCCCACTCTCCCTCGTCATGGCCATCCCAGTGCCGCCAGGTATGGCTGGGCCACGACAACAACAAGCAGGTGGGAAGGCTGCAACCCGGCTCTGGCTTATCCCATTGTTACATGTCCCCAACCCTGTGCCCTTGCCTGCTGCCCTCTCCTCCGCCGCAGGTGTGGCTGGGCTACGACGACAACCAGCCGGTGAGTGGCTTTTCCGGCTCTCCTCCCTCTCACTCGCGCCCTGCACCACTCTCGCACCGCCTCACCACCCTCCACCCATCCCCACCCCTTGTGCCCCCTCCCCCCTGCCAGGTATGGCTGGGCTACGATGACAACCTGCCGGTGGGGGGTCTGCACCCCGGCACCGGTTCCAGCCACGCTGCACCGCTCTGGAGTCGTTTCATGACCCTCGCCCACGAGGGGCTGCCCGTTAAAAAAATCCTCGAACCTGCGCGGGACAGGTACAGCAGAGGGGCGGGTGGGAGGGAGTTTCAGAAGCGAAGCCGGCGTGCTCAGAAGGTGGGGCTGAGTGAGGTGCGGCGCCGGGAGGGCGGCAGGAGGAAGGGCCGGCGGGAGGTGGTGTGGAAAGACGTGTGGGATTGGGAGAAGGCGAGCAGTGGGTGGCAGGAGAGGGAGAAGATGGAGGAGTGGGCAGCAGCGAGAAGAAAGAGGGCTGAGGAGATTAGGGCTTTGAGGGCCAAGTGGGGATGGCTGCCGTTTGTGAAGGGGAATAAGGGAGCAGGAGGGGAGGGAGGAGGGGAGTCGCCGGGGAGAGGGTTGCTGGGGGATGAAGGGGAAGAGGTGGGGGAGGATGATTACGAGGATGCACTGCGGTTCTTTGAGCGGGCGAATCAGGAGGAGGGGCAGGGGGGGAGGAGGAGTGGGGAGAGGGGAGGGGAGAGGGGTGGAGAGAGGGAGGGGGGCACAGGGAGGGTTGTTTCTGCAGCGGCAATGGCTGCTGCGAAGTGGGGTGCGGGGAGGAGAGGAGGGGGCGTGGAGAAGCGAGGGGGGAGTGGGGAGACAGGAGCAGAGAGGCGAGTGGAGGAGGAGATGGGGAGGAGTTGGAGTGCGGAGGAGGGAGTGGAGGGGGAGGACGAGGAGGAGAGCGAGGTTTGTGCGAGGGATGGGGAGGGGGGTGATGAGGATGGGGTGTGGGAGGAAGGGGAGGGAGAGGAGGAGGAGGAGGAGGAGGAGGAGGAGGAAGAGGAGGAGGTGTTGGCTCGCATGCAGGAGAGGCTGGAGGAGCAGTTTGGGGTGCGACTGGTGGAGGCTGTATTTGAGAGGCGAGGGGGGGACGGGGGCACGGGGGCAGATTTCAAGGGGAGGGGAGGTGGGAATGCAGGAACAGCAGGAGGGGGGGGTGGAGAGAGGGGTGGGAGGGAAGAGGGTGGTGGAGCGGGTGAGGCGGCATTGTATGAGGGAGTGCCTGTGCCGTCTGTGGAAGCAGCAGCATCCTCACGGCCGCCTGCATCTTTAGAAGGGTTGACATGGAGCGAGCGACTGGCATCAGCGCAGCAGCAGCAGCTAGAGCAACAACAGCAGCTAGAGAAACAACAGCAGCTTGCAGCAGATGCTACCACCTCAGGACCAGCCGAGCCTCGTGCTGAACCTCAACTTCCTCACACCGAACCTCAAGCATCCCGTACCAAGCCTCAGGTGGCCCGGTCTGCAACCCAAGCCTCAGTTGCTGAGAACCAAGCAGCACCTGCAGCAGCAGCAGCAGCAGCAGAAGAAGCAGCAGAGAGAGCTGGTGAGTGCGAATTTCTTCACAGCAGTGGATTCGGAATCTGCTGCGCCTGACATCTCTCCGCTGCAGGCGTGGCCGGAGAAACAGGGCGGTGGGGCGGAGGGCGGAGGGGAGATGGAGGCGTGCTGCCCCATGCCCCCGTGCACGGGCCTGCTGCCTGCCTGCAGGGAGCCGTCACTGGAAGGGGGTGCAGATGCTGAAAGGGATGCAGCGGGTGAGAGGGAGCGTGAGGAGGACAATGAGGAGAAGCGGCTGGGGTGGACCAAGCGGCTGTTTGTGAAGACGAGGGTCACGGCTCCGAGCGGTGCGCCCCTGCCCCCGTCTTCGTCTGTATCTGCTGCCTACTCTGCTGCATACTCTGCCTATACCACCACAGCTACTTCGGGAAGGGGCGACTTGGAGGAAATTCCCGGGCAACACCCGGTGTCTTCTCCTTCTCTCGTCCCGTCCCCGTCCTCCTTGGGACCTCCGTCGTCGCTAGCCCCCACACTCCAGCACCCTTCAGTTTCCGGCAGGTATCCTGCTGATGTCAGCAGCGTGCCTGGCAGTTCAACAGGCGCGTGGGGGAGTGCGGTGCCGTGGCGGCAGCAGAAAGGAGCTGGCCTGGGCCGGGACGCTCCACTGGACAAGGCTAGTTCCCCTGCTCGGTTTGGTAAATTTGGTGGAAGGAGCCAGACAGGCAGGACGTAGGTTTAATGCAGACACATTAAAAAAAATGATATACGAAGAGGATTCGATATGGTGGCCTGAAGTATTACCTGGATGAAACAGAAGTTTGTGCTACAAGGCTGTTTGTCTCGCATGTCATTTTTTCTTAACGTATTACAAATTGTCTAGTGTGCTTGTAGGAGTGAACCGACGCAAACCGAAGCTGAGTCAAAATACCAAACGGAGGGCCACGGTTGGTCCAGCAGTTCTGAAAATGTCCCCTCCCCTTCAGGCCTGTCGATTGACGGGCATATGCGTCCCGCCCTGACATTAAGGGCTAGTTTCGCTCCAGCTCCAATGCGTCAAGTTTTAGATTCGCACCCCACCCGTGCCACTAAGTGCTTCGTTCGACCCTTCCCCGTATGCTTTAAGGGACGAAACCAGGCCTTCCCCTTTAAGTAAGTTTTGGTTTCCGATCATAGGACCCCCCCCTACCCCAGGGTGCCAGAGACCCCCCCCCCACCCCCCCCCCCCCCCCCCTTTTCTCCTTAGCCTGCACGAGAACGCGCCGAGGGGATTTTTCCCTATGGCTTTTTCTAGCCAATCTCGTGTCTGTAGTGTGTCTCAGTCAGCCTTGGAGCACCCGAACATTCTCTTAGTGTCCAATACGAGCTGGCCGCAGTTTATAGCTGTGTAAACTTCGCACATGCCCGGATTTCAAGTTTTCACTTTGGGGTGCGCCCGTGCCCGTTAAAGCCGTGGCCCAACTTTCAACTTCAACTTCAAAGTATTAGAGCTTGGAAGAGGTTGACCCGGGCAGTTTGGAGCCGATAATTTTGTCCTCTTCTGTTTTTTCGACCAATAGAATTCAAGTTACACACAAGCCACTTTTGTGAACCAAGCAAACCAATAGAATTCAAGGCTGTTTGTCTCAGGGCCCACGTTATCAGGGCAAAACATCCTGATTACCCTGAATTCAGGATGCACTTCTGTATTTACCCTGCAATTTCAGAATAGTCATAATGAATATAGCCTATACTACTGCCTCCACAGCAGCAGCCACCTCCGCAATGCTCGTATACTGCTGCCTTTCCTTGACGAGGCGCTTGCCGAAATTGAGAGCCCTGCGCTCGCAAGCTGCCCTCACATCAGGGTCGGCAATGGACTCCATATCCTCCACATGCGCGATGCCAACAATGCGCCTGCAAGAGTAGACAAAACACAGACACTCAGGCATCAGGACTTCCATTCCCTCGCAGATTTTCGTGGACGGCAGAGCCTGACACCTGAAAACCGAAGCCACAACCAGGTTCTGCGACCCCTTAAGCCTGCAGCAGCTCTGACCTGATCATCTTGGCCCCGGGGTCACAGGATGTTTTTATGTGAAATGCCCTGGAGTTTCAGGATGGCCGTAGTGTTCTTCCCTGTAGCGTCAGGATGAATGTCGAGGCCTGCCCTGACGCGGATTTTGGTGGGGGACGGGGGGGGGGTAAGGGGGGGTGTTCCGTTTCGGGGGGAATTTTTTCCCCGAGGATTTTTGTCTCCGTTGAAATTTTCCCCCGTGTACGTTTCCCGCCTTCGCACGTTCTCTTCCCCTTGACATTTCCGATCCCCCGCTACACCAGCCAAGCCAACCCCACCCCATCACCCACCGCCAAGGCAACTCGTTTTCTGCCTGGCTAGCTCTAGCTGGGTTTCTCACGCTGACGTTCAGTAGCACTCCATCCAACACCCTTGCAGTGTTGCTGTTAGAGTAGCAGCAGCACTAGTAGTGAAGTTCGGCTGCGGCTGCTCTGCTATGCTAAACAGAGTCTGGTCTGGTCTGTTTGTGATAAAATCAGAACCCTGAACACTACAATTTTTGCCCTGACAGGTCAGGATTATTTTCTGCAAAAGCCCTGACCAATCAGGAAGGCTCTGAAGATTTGCCCTGAGAAATCAGGGCATTTTTTTGGATTCTAGAAAAGTGCCCTGAGGGCTCAGGGTGTCCCAAAACCTAGCACGGGCCCTGGTTTGTCTCGCATGTCATTTTTATAAACGTATAACAATTTACAAATTGTCAAGTGTGCTTGCAAGAGGGAACCGACGCGAACCGAAGCTGAGTCAAATACCGAAGGGCTGGTCCAGCAGTTTTGAAAATGTCCCCTCCCCTCCCCTCCAGGGCCTAAGTTATCAGGGCAATTACCCTGTTTTGACTGAAATTATAGGGTGTTTTTTCAAGGAGCCCTGATTTTCACAAGGTTTTTTTCGGACCAGCCCGTAAAACTGAAGGGTGATTATTGAGTCAGCTCGGATCTCTCCGGGGAGTTCTCAAGGGGACCCGTATAATTTTAGCAGACATGTTCTCCCCGACCTGCCTTGCATTCCTCTCCGTCTCCCTCTAAACACACGTGGGCCACTTTTAGTGAATTTCCTAACCACTCTCTCCTTGTTGGCCTCCAAGTGTCTGATTGCCCTGTTCTACGTCGACATGGCTTAGAAGGCCAATAAGGAGAGAGTGTCTGATTGCCCTGTTCTCCCTATGTACTCTTCCTCATCGTATTTTTTTCGAAGTCTAAAATAAGTATCTCGCTCACCCCTCCAGAGCCACTCCATCTCCAATCTCCCCAGCCCTCGTGCAACCCACTGTGAGTTTCCCGCGAAATTCTGGCAATGCATGTTTTCAGGCCTTTTCTGGCTCGAACCCGGATTCGTCAAGGTTTTTTTTCCGCTGGCTCGGATTTTACAGGGTCTTTTTCACAGGGGCCCGGATCGTCCGAGCTAGCAAAAATCCTAGCAATAGCCCTTCTCCCCTCCCCTCCCTCCCACCACCCCCCCGCATGCACGCAAGGGCCCCTCCAAGCGACAAAGACGTTTCTGCCCCCAGCGATAAATTTTCGAATCGCACATTTTCCGTGTCGTGATCAAACAGCCGTACCGGAAAGGCTATCCATCGGAATGGATAGCCAGCGAAATGGCAATGCATTTCTGAGAAAAAACAGCCAATGCTTTGCTGGCATTGTCCTACTACAGTATAACGAACCGAGAATTTCAGGCAATGAGACATCACTCTTACGCGCGATTATAATTGTTGGGGCGGCTCCCAGCAGATATATCCGGTCTTAAAAAAAATACATTTTCCCTTGTTCTGCTATTTTTCTTTTTGGAGATGCCTGGTTGATGGAATGAATTTCACGCACAGAAACGACGTTATACAAAATGTACTCTGCTTTTTCTGTTTACGACGTACGGTTTCCCAATCTTTTCGTAACGTCTGAAAGCATTCGTAGAGGTCAAACTATTCCTTCAAACACATGAGGAGGGTCCTTGTTTATAGAACTCGTATTTTTCTCATTTTGACTTTTTATGCAGCCCCCTCAAATGATTTGGCCAGATCAGTTTGTCATTGTACACATGGCTGCCCTTACAGAACCATGCCACGTCACCGCGACAGCCTGGAGAGAGAAAATCTAGAAGCCCATGGTGGCTCCATTTACACCACAAATATGGCATTGTACTTCGCCAAGTGCTTGCACTGCATGCCTAGAGGATAACAGTCGTCTCGACGACATATGCGCAAAACGACAGAAGTGCTGACATGGCGTGACTTGCGCAAGGAGTGGATGCGGTGGGTTTTCCAAATTTGCAACGCAACTTTTGTACAGTAAGCCGCCAAGTACAAACGTTAACCCTAAGCATATTCTCGATCCATAATTTGCTTCTCTTCGTCACACAATCGACCCAGCACGGTTTATTATTTTATTTTGGGGGAAAAGCCCGCCGAGAAAACTACGTGCTGTACAGTGCGCCCAAGAATGAATGTCGTCGTTGCTGAAATGAAGGCAGTTGTTCCTGTGATTTCTTGAGATGAAACTGGGAAATGGGCATGTACATGCGGGAGGATCTGGGCTAGCCCAGAAACTACCCAGATAATCAGCATTTCCCGCGTCCTTGTTGATTTCTGAACTACTCTGACCTTCTGGCAAAGTCAAACGCAATCCCAAACGCACTATTTGTGGCTCATGAGGTTATGAACCCGTACACTTGGATAACATTAAGTTTGACATTTGCTATCGACGTCCCACACAAAAACTTTCGGAATTGGATCCAAATCAAAATTATACTGAAGTTTATGAGGTCTGGGCAGAATTATCCTGAAATAGGCTGTGATTTCTAGATGAGACCACTCAGAGATTTGGAAAGGAGGTGGAGGGTGTGAAAGGGCGGGGGGAGGGAGAGCGGTGGGGGGCCGCTCATCGTGCGAAGTGGGGCTGGGGGGGGGGGACCAAGAAGGATGGAGAGATCGAAGGGCAAAGCACTGCACGTACATACGTACACACACTCAGCAGAAGGAGCGGAGCCGTTGGGTTGGGATCAGGGCTATTGCTATGATTTTTGCTAGCTCGGACGATCCGGGCCCCTGTGAAAAAGACCCTGTAAAATCCGAGCCAGCGGGAAAAAAACCTTGACGAATCCGGGTTCGAGCCAGAAAAGGCCTGAAAACATGCATTACCAGAATTTCGCGGGAAACTCACAGTGGGTTGCGCGAGGGCTGGGGAGATTGGAGATGGAGTGGCTCTGGAGGGGTGAGCGAGATACTGATTTAGACTTAGAAAAAAATACGATGAGGAAGAGTACATCGGGAGAACAGGGCAATCAGACACTCTCTCCTTATTGGCCTTCTAAGCCATGTCGACGTAGAACGGGGCAATCAGACACATGGAGGCCAACAAGGAGAGAGTGGTTAGGAAATTCACTAAAAGTGGCCCACGTGTGTTTAGAGGGAGACGGAGAGGAATGCAAGGCAGGTCGGGGAGAACATGTCTGCTAAAATTATACGGGTCCCCTTGAGAACTCCCCGGAGAGATCCGAGCTGACTCAAAAATCACCCTTCAGTTTTACGGGCTGGTCCGGAAAAAACCTTGTGAAAATCAGGGCTCCTAGAAAAAACACCCTATAATTTCAGTCAAAACAGGGTAATTGCCCTGATAACTTAGGCCCTGGTTGGGATGCTAGGCGTGCCTGCACGGAAATGAGCGCAGTACGTACAGTACACAGCAGACGAGCCGTCGTCACGTCACATGGGCAAGAAAGCATCGGAATGGCGTAGGCAGCTGCATGCATTTCGGATGCTCCTCGAATCGCGGTCGGAGCCCACATGCTTGTGGCCCTGCTGCGTGGATGGAAATTTCGGCTTTGATCATCACACTTCCCTTCCACAAATCCCCCCGCCCCGCGAAATGAACCAGCGAGCCACAGTCACTGTTTTTGCTCCAACAGGAGGAATCCAAATCACAGAACCTAGGATATTATGGAGGGAGGCTCCTCATGTTCGGAGGTCTGAGCATCGTACAGCATCATTTCCCCAAGTCACACCGATGCTCATTGCTGTTTGGCTTTCACAGAGCACCAGTTCCAAGCGAGTCCGCTGTTGTTCACAGATGTGTAGTCGTTCATTCCACTTGACACTCTCCTCCAAATCACTTTTCCCAAAGGCAGTAGCAGGGTAACTGACATGGCCACTACTGACCGACGTCCCGCGTTCTCGAGACGGTCCCGGTTGCATCACAAGTCGCCGTCCACAGACTCATTCCTCGCCGACTCGCTTTCCCGCTTCGTCGAAACCCTCGCCGAGAGCGACCCCTCCTACTCTTCGCTTCCCCCCCGCCACTCCCCGCGAAGCACTCTCTCCCCCATGTCCTCATCCTCTAGCACTCCTTCCGCCATGAGAGTTGGCCGCCGTTCCCTTGAAATTCCAAGCGACGCGGATTCGAGTTACGGATTCGGGTCTCCTCGAGACGTCCCGAGGCGCCTCGCGATGCGACTCCTCGTGGGCGACAGCGGCGGAGCGGTGGATGCGGCGACTCCGAGGGTCCGTACGCCGGAAATGGGTGTTCCGCGTGGAAGCAGTGGACGGTGTAGCGTGAATGCCCCAGCCACATACAACCGCGAATTGAAAAACGGCGACTTTTCGAGGGAGTTCTGCCTTCAGGGTGAAGCGGGTCGCGAAGGGCCGCAGGGCCGTAACGGCGGCTCGAGGGCAATGTTCCGCAGCATTAGCGAGCACGTTGGTCCAGATGAGACAGCCCCGTCCTCCCCCTCTTGCCTCACACCATCCGCGTCCTCTCCCAGTGGGAGCCACCGGACCGCGTCGTCTCGCCGCTACCTATCGCGCGTCGGGGCGTCCGAGCCGTTGGAACGCACCCTCCCCCGCAAAAGCCGCTTGAACGGCGACGAGGACACTGACGCTGGACCGGCGGCGACGGGCCGCGACGAAGCGACGGATGCGGAGGAGGGTGAGTCGTCGGACGCGTCGGTGTCGATGCGGCGCCTGGGCCGCGAGATGAACGAGCTGCGGAGGCAGCTCGAGCGATGCTCCAAGATTAACAAGTGGTTAACCGGTAAGTCACCGTGATGCTGCATTTCCCATTTTAATTGTGCTGTCACCTACCGCATTTTAGTTTGATTATCATCCTTTCTCTGGATGGTTTTTCTTACCCCTATTTTTCCGCCTGTGCCCTTCTTCTCGCTCTTCTCACTTCAGATTCTTTGCGTTCCGCGGAGCGCGCCGCGGCGGAAGCCACGGCAGCCGTGAAGGTGGCGGAAGCGGAACGGGACCACGTGGCGAAGGAGCTGGAGGAGATGCTGAACGCGTGGTCCCAAGCGGATAACGCGGCGGCAGCGAAGCAGGAGGAGGAGCGCACGTCGGTTGAACGAAGCCGCGCGTCGCTGGAGCGGGCGCGCGCGGTGTTGGCGCAAGAGAGGGAAGCGGTGGGGAGGGAGAGAGAGGAGGTGAGGAGGGAGCGGGAGGAGTTGAAGCGGGAGAGGGAAGCGCTGCAGAAGGAGAAGGAGAGGATCGCGGCGGGGCGGGCGGCGCAAGAGGTGCATATGGAGTGGAGCAAGGCGCACCGCCAGGCGGAGATGATGGGCGTGCGGCAGCACCAGCACCATGTGACTCCTGATGGTGTGCTTCTACGGAGCGTGAGCATGAACAGCACGTGCAGCACGTGCAGCACTTGCAGCTGCCTGAGCAGCACGCGAAGCATCAGCAAGGCGGCCATGACGAACGAGGGAGCTACGAACCAGCAGAGCAAGCAGGGGGGGAGCAGGAGCAGCGGCAGCACCAAGAGCAGCGCGTCTGGTGGCCGTTGGATGGCCTCCTCACGGTCGGAGAGCGACCTGGCTGCATGTGCTTCCAAGTCGCGGGAGCATGCTCCGAGTGGGCTTCCGCACTCCGCGAGCGTGGGTGAATATGTGAATTCGTCGCAAAAGAGCATCGCGTCGCCAAAAGAACGCGTGGGCCAATCGTGGGGTCTCGAGAGCCCTGGTGCGGGGGTGAGTCCCCGGACCTGTGCTCATTCGCCCCCATCCAGGAGCCCTCGTGGTAACAGCACTGGTGGTTACAGTAGCAGCAGTATCAGTAGTGTTGGAAGTTACTCTTCGGTTTTGGACTATGGCGCTAGACCACCCAAGTCTCCTGGGTTGCTGCAAGACCCAAGGATATCTGGGAGGCGTGTGAAGTTCACTCTCATTGACTGATGACTCATGCAGTAGAATAGGTGTGTGTTGACTGTGTGTTTGTGTGTGTGTGTGTGTGTGTGTGTGTGTTTGTGTGTGTGTGTGTGTGTGTGTGTATCCGTTTACCAGATTTTGTGTGCGTTCTCTCTACGAATTCTTGAGTGAGATTCAAGTGTCCATTTGCTGCCTATGTAAGCTCTCGGGCAGGGCATTATTGACACATCCGTGTGTGTATTCTATACTGCACAAGGGAATGCAGAGCTGAATCCCTGCTTGGTGGCTGTGCAATCATAGTTTCCCAGTCAATCCCCTTCTTTCTGTTGTGCTCACTGCACCTTTTTGTAATAAGGGTACATTCCTGTGTAGACACAAATGTCTCAATCACTTTGTGACACCCAAAAACAGCCTATACTGTATTGTGTCACATTTGCGAGTCGTGTTTCTGCGACATGTACTGTATTTTTAATTGGTCAGCGTGAACCGCGCTAACGTCGCGGACGAGTTGTAAATTGACCCGTCAATTTCGGAAAGTCGCCCGCGGTCCGAAATGTCAATGTATTTGGACCCCTCGACAATGACAATTCCGCGCGGGAAAAGAATCCGCGCGTCACAACCACACCCCAGCCAATCATTTGACGAGACTGGTGTACAGTCATTTCCGAAAACCAATCAGATGCGCACAACTGTTTTTTTCGCCTGATCGCCTTTTGTCGCGATACATCTAACGTTTGAGACGAGACATTGAAAAACTGTGTAGACGCGACTCGGAAAATAGTGCATTGAGACATTTGTGTCTACACAGGAATGTACCCTAATGGGTTTCCAATGGAAGTCTGAATAGGAGGCTGATCACGTACCGTACCAGTACCATTGTATCTTTCACTTCATCCAACAGAGATTTGGATATAGTGAGACACAACCAATTTGTATGCTTCTAATGAAGCGTGTACAGATTGCAGTGCTTCACGGCATTCCGTCACTTTCGACGTCATCCTTCATCACCAGTTTACAACCAAGCGGGCAGTCACGCGAGAACTATGGGAGTTATGTCAACTCGTCGTTCTGTGATAAATCATTCCAGCAACAACTGACAGCTGGATTTCATATGCGATAAGACAATCTCGAACGTTTTGTGACTGCCCGTAGATATTGCCCCACAGGTGGTGTGGGGGTGGCGAGGTATGGGGGAGGGTACAGTAAACTGTAAAAGGGGATGGGAATCGGTGGGGAGGGGAGGGAGATGGAAGGCGGAAAGCCCAGAGAAGCGCAAGTGATCGAAGCGCAGCGACAAGGTGGAAGAAGTGCGATGGAGGCGCGACTTGCGTTGCGAGTCGTCGTCAGGGGGATGGCATGGCAAGCATCGCACTGGCAGTTGCTTGCATTTGCATTCTTCTTGCCGCATCTACATTCGTCATACCTTCGAAATGTTATGCAATCCTTCCCCATCTCTCCCCATCGCACTAGTCACTCCTTGTCGAGCGAACCGCCTAAGCCACACGTCAAGGGTGCCCATTTGGAGAAGATTTTGAAATTTGAACTCAGCATGGTACAGCGCCCATTCGTCTCACCCTCTTCCACTTCGTTGTTCTGTCTTCCAGTCACAGTACTTGTTTGTGCTGCTCCGCCTACTCGTAGCTTTGGCCGCTTCCTCAATGATTCACTCCACCGTTGGCCGCTGTGGCATTCAAATACATTTCCTTACAGGGTAGCTCAGTAACTGACATGGCCACCACAGATCGGCGATCTCCGATCAGGTCTCATCGCAAATCGTCGTCCGCTGACTCGTTCCTCTTCGACTCGCTCTCCTGCTTTATAGAAACCCTCCCCAGCTTTTCCAATCCACCTCTCCACTCCCCGCGAAGCATGCTCTCTCCCATGTCGCCATCCACTAGCACTCCCTCAGCCATGAATTCCAGTTGCCGTTCGCTTGATAATATTCCGTGCGACGCTGGTTTAAGTAACGGAACTGTGTCGCCTCGCGACCTCCCTAGGCGCCTCGCGATGCGGCTCCTGGTGGGTGACAGAGGCGGGGCGGTGGACGCGGCGACGCAGAGAGTCCGCACGCCGGAAAAGGGTGCGTCGCAAGGAACCAGCGGAACCCGCGGCGCAAAGAGTGGCATACACAACCGTGAATCCAAGAGCCGTGATAACTGGTCGAGGGAGTTTCTTCTCCAAGCGGGAGATGCGGGTCGCGAGGGAGCGCAGAGCCGTAAGCATGGTAGCGCGAAGGCGATGATCCGCAGCAATAGAGACCGGGTGGCACGCGACTCGGTGGGTCCGAACGCGACAATCCCAACCTCTCCCACTTCCTCTACGTCCTCGGCTTCCTCCGCTTCCTCCGCGTCCTCTGATTGCTCTCTTAAAGTGATCCAGGGAAGCGCATCGTCTCGAGGCCGACCCCTATCGCTCGGTGCTGCGTCAGATCCGTCGGAGCGCACTTCCCCCCGCAAAACCCGTTTGAAGGACGAGGACACGGCGACGACGCCCCGAATCGAAGCGACGGATGGCGAGGAGGATTCGGACGGCGGGTCGGTGTCGATGCGACAGCTGCGACGCGAGATTGACGATCTGAGGACGCAGCTGGAGCGATGCGTGCGAATCAACAAATTGCTCTCTAGTGAGTCACGATCACGGGGCTCGAGACGCGCTTTGGACGACTCAAACTCAGAGTTTAGAATCAGTAATTTTGATTATTGTGCAACCCTCTCGAGGTGATTTCCCACACTTGTTACTCACGTTCTTGCTTTTCTCTGTGCAGACTCTTTGCGCTCAGCAGAGCGCACAGCGAATGAAGCGACAGCAGCCGCCCGCGGGTTGGCGTCGGAACGAGACGACTTGGCAAAGGAGCTGGAAGCGGTGCTGAAAGCGTGGTCCCAAGCTGATGACGTGGCAGCGGCAAAGCAGAAGGAGGAACGTGCGGCAGCGCAAAGAACCCGAGTGTCGCTGGAGTGGTCGCGAGCAGTGTTGGCACAGGAACGGGAGGCATTGGGGAAGGAGAGGGAGGAGGTGAGGAAGGAGCGAGAGGAGTTGAAGCGGGAGAGGGAAGCGCTGCAGAAAGATAAGGAGAGGATCGCCAAGGACGCGGCGAAGCTTGCAGCGCGAGAGGTGCAGAGCGAGCGGATGAAGGTGCAGCAGCAAGCATGGATGATGGGCGTGCGGCAGCACCAGCACCATGTGACCCCCGATGGTGTGCTTCTAAGGAGCGCCAGCATGAGCAGCACGTGCAACTGCCTCAACAGCACGCGAAGCAGCACCAAACCGAGGTCGAACGACGAGGAAGCAACGGACGAGGAGCCAAGCAAGCAGGGGGAGAGAAGGAGCAGCGGCAGCATCAAAGTCGGTGAATCTGCTTCAAGAAGGATCCCCTCTTGTCGGTCGGAGAGCAACCTCAGTGCGTGTGCTTCCAGGGCACAGGAGCATGCGCCGACTGGGCTTCCGCACTCCGCAAGTGCAGGTGAATATGGCCCGCCGTCTCCGAAAAAAGCCACCTCGCCGAAAGAGCGTGTGGGTCGAATGTGGATACTTGAGAGTTCCAGCGCTGCAGTGGCTCCTTCCCAAACTAGTGCTCTTTCCCCCACGTCTAGAAGTCCTCGCAGTACCAGTACAGCTGGATACAGCAGCAGCAGCAGTCTTGGTAGCGTGGGGAGTTACTCTTCTGTTTTGGACTACGGTGCGAAACCACCCATGTTTCCTGGATTGCTGCAAGACCCGAGGATGTCAGGGAGGCGTGTGAAGTTCTCACTCATCGAGTAATGCCGCATGGAACGTGTGACGTGTGATGCATTCTAAGGTTCCGTGCAAGATTTGCACATCTAAATTACACGTTACAGTTCCATTCTGTAAGCAAGCACTGTATTTACAGATGGATTGCTCAACTACAGAAGGGACGGAGGGTTTCCCATGTGTTTTTGGGCTGGTAGGTGTGGTATAGAAATGCAAGGTGCAGCTGGGTGGGAGGTCTCTTCAGTCATTAGATCAAGGAGAAGGCACATTAGGTTAAAAAAAAAGCTAGGTTTTCAAGAACATGAACCCTGGATGTCAGTGAAAGGATTAGCCAAACAGCGTGTGAACATAGCACAAAAGTTTACTAATTGCTGGTTGTATATGTTGAATGTTCTGCTAAGGGCGGGGGCAGCGCGTTCATTTTCCTGGCTTAGCCCGAAACAGTTACCAGATTCAGGGGTTTGTAACCCCGATTTAGGGTAACCTGTGGACACGACGGAGTATACAGTGGATGAACGGTGGCTGTTTTCCGTGCCGTCAATCGAACAAAACACGTTCCCACAACGTCCGCGAACAACCCGCGCATCATTTGAGAAAGCCCTTGAAAACGTCAGCGAAACCGCACCACGACTTCGTCAAGCGCGTACGACCCTCGCAAATCCAAGGGTTCGAGTGTCTGGTGTGCACGAAGTTTTGCCACCTTCAATTCGGGGGCACAGGGTTACCTCGCTGGGTGGGCGGTTTGGCAAAAATGTGGCGGGTCCTGTGCCGGATTTTGGACGCGCGTGTCTCACCTGGGACACAAACTAAGCGCGGTACAAAAAAGCTACAGTAACCTCCAGATTCGACGGGTGTCAAAATTTTGTACAAGTGGCGAAAATGAACGCGCTGCCCCCGCCCTAAATAGCAGGAGCGAAGAACACTGCAGAAGTTCCAGAACCGTGCCATCATTCCGTCACTTTCGAGGTGACCCAGCCTGACAAGAGGTTTCCCGCCATTCGTCATGTGCATACCAGCCCGGCTCGCCTGGGAATTCTCCTTCAGCCAGAATTGCATGCGTTGCTCCTCCAGGCATGTCCGTTCTAGTTTCGCTCTTTCGAGGAATGCTTGCGAGTTTTGACAGACAATTTCATTCATGCTGAAAGGATTGAGAGCTACGCTGTGTAGCATCGTTACCTAGGTTGGCCTTATGGCAGCATATGTCCGCGAACGGTGGGAGTCGCCTGCCGTTCCGCATGCGCTGGCCTGTCGGGCCGAGCCATTCACGGAGGCAGCATGCGACCTGAGCTTAGAGGTACAGAAAGCGCATACCGATGTATCGCAGCATGATCCCGTTCGTTCTCCTTCGTCCCTGCTGCGTGACGCGGCTTCTCACTGACGTGCGTTCGTCCATTCAGGCCGATTTTCTTGCGTCAGTTGAGGAAGCGAAGAAACTGAATCCCGTACTAGCTCTACCGTACCAGCTGGTTCTCTACGGGCTGTACAAGCAGGCGACTGCAGGAAGCATCACTTCGTGTACGTCTTTCGTTCGTTTTGCATTTTGCGACCAAGGTCTCCCTTCCACTTAGTCAGGTGTTGAGACGTTGCAAAACGTACCACGTACTCGGTGTTCACTCACAATAGTCTCGACTTCACATTTTTCTGCGCATTCCGTCGTCGTCTGCTCGCACATTTTGTTTAAAACGAAGCTGACGCCACCACGGATTCTTGTGCAGGTTCAGAAGATGACGTGGACACTGATGACCAAGAGAAACTCCAGGCTTGGCGCGACTTCGCAGGTCAGCTTCCATTGCATTGAGACCCCTGAAGAGGGAAACTTCTGAGGATTTGTGCATGGATCGACGTCCATGAATGTGCCATTCCATTCATGTCAGTTAGTCCTAACTTTTCTGTTTCGCCGTCCCGCAGGCCTGAGCATCGAGGTCGCTATGGTCAACTACGTGTAGAAGGTGAAGCAGTTCCAGATGCTCTTCTCGCCTTCTACTTGAAGCCAGCTTGCCACCCGATGAGGGGTACCGCAGTCTCGAGTTGCTCCCACTCATCACCGAGCCCAGTAAGGCAGTGCTCATGCCATGCTGGAATTGTCTGTAAATAGTATGTAACTCTGTCTGTGCCTCCTTTTCCTTCCCTTGCCTGTAGGTTCCATGTGACAGTACATTTCCTTAACATCTTTCTATATACCTTAGAATACCTCTTTTCCTTTCTACCAATGGGGTTCGATGGGAGACTACCGTGGGGCTCATCCATAGAGGCCATGGAACCAGTCAAAGAAGCAGGCAAGGCTCACTCCAAATCTGCTGAACCCCAGCTAAAGTCTTGGACATGAGGACATTGGGCGGCTGAAACTAAAAGGATGTCTGGCAGAGCGGGCAGGTGGACTTGTGGGAGGACTGGAACCACTGGTACAGACACTCTGGATGGAACTTGTGCTTGCACGTGCGGCACTGCAGACGTGGCAGGCTGCCATTGGACGAGTGAATGACACTGTAGCAAATAGGGCAATCCTCCACCCCTTCAAACTTCTTCTCCGCACACTCGCACCACTGCACCACCGCATCTGCCACCGAACCCCCTCCCAGCAGCAGGAACGAGTTAGCTGCCAGCAGCCACTTGCGCATCTCAGCCTCTTTCACGCCTGCCCCTTTGGAACTTTCGACAGCTGCCCCTCGCAGCGGGTAGCTTTCGGGCAGCTTGATGACGAGCTCCAGCCTGGCCTCGTCCTTGCAGTACGCCGCCCACACCTCGCGCGCCGACCGCCGTGTGCGCACCGTCAGGTCCTCCTTGCTGCCACCCGCCTTCTGCGCCTGGTGGAGGGGAGAGGGTGAAGGGGGGAAGGAGGTGACGGAGGGGAGGGGGTTTAGGATGGAGGGGGTGAGCGGCAAAAGAACGAGACGCAGCTGGGCAGATTTGGGAGAGGAAAGGAGGTGTGTGGCTAGACACTTGGTGTATCAGTAATAACCATGGAAAAAACAAGGTCTGAGATAATATGAGAGGCGGGAGGAGAGAGGGGGGGAAGGGGGGATGCATACTTGGGCGAGTTCGAGGGCGATCATGTGGGCGCTGCAGTATCGGGCGGTGAATATGTCCATGCCCCGCCGCACTCCCTTCTCCCTCACATCCGCATACCACCGCCTCACCCCCCCTGGCACCACCCGCAGCGCCGCCCCAAACACCGCTGCTGCCAGGCTGCGCATGCGTGGCACCGATAATTTGCCTGTCCCGGGCAGGGTTAAAACTTCCAGCGCCACATCCAAAGGCGAGGCCTGGGCAACTGCCCGTGTGGCGAAGTCCCCGGCTTGGGCTATGGCCGGGGGAAGGGGTCCTGAGGGGTTGAGATGGATGAGGCGACGGGCAGAGGCGGAGGAGTGTGAGGGGGATGGGGCGAGGAGGAGGTTTTGAGCAACGAGGTCGAGGAGAAGAGTGAGAGTGGGAGTGGCTTGAATGAAAGAGACGAGGCGGTTGCGAGGGGAGGATGGGGATGCTGCAGAGGGGGCTGCGGTGGAGGACGGTGGGGATGGGGGTGAGGCGGGGAGGGATTGCATGCGGTGCAGCACAAGGCATGCTGCCAGGAAGAACCGCACACGCTGTGGTGATGTCAGGGCTGACGTCAACAGCTCCTTCCGATTGGCCGGCTGCAAGATCTGTGCCAGCTCAGGTCTGACACCGTCACCAACTGGCTCTCCATGAGTCTCCCCTTCTCCTCCGCCCTTCACCACCCCTGCCCCCACGGCAGCAGGCAACACCTGCTCCCTGGACAGACACCAGAAAGCAGCCAATCGCACGCTGCCACCTGGCGATGGGCCACACATGAGTGCGTACAGCCCTGCGATTGGCCCTCGCCCCGCCCCCCAGATCTCCGCCGCCCGCACCGCTGCTTCCACCGCCCTGGGAGGGGCAGCGAGCACTGCGCGCGACAGCTGGCGGAAGAAGAGTGGATGCTGCAGGCGCCAGGCTGTCATTGGCTGGCTGCTCTGAGCACTGGTGGCACCACTGGTGGCGGCACTGGTGGCAGCGCTGCTGACTGCACTGCTGGCAGCACTGGCGGCAGCGGTGGTGGCAGCGGTGGTGTGAGGGAGGGTCGCCTCTGCGAGCCCCGTGGCAAGGAAGATGCGCAGGGCATGCTCCGAGCCCTGCCGTACCACTGCTGCACTCGCCTCCGATGCCCACAGCGTGGACGGGGATGCAGACGCAGAGGCTGACGCCCACAGCGGGAAGATGCTGCTGCTGGCAGTGGTGGTGGCAGTGGGGGCAGCAGAGGCGTGGGAGTGGAGGGCGAGCAGCATGGAGAGCAGTGAGAGGGCACCACCTGCCACGTCCAATGGCATTGCCTCCAATCGTCTCCTAACCCCATCCCCTTCCTCCCCCATCCCCTCCCCCATCGCCTCCACCATCTCTTCAAACGCCATGGCTGCTGCAGCAAGTGCCCGCCGCAGCCTGCCACCCACAAACGCCACGTCAGCTTCGGCCATCTCCTGCCAGCTGTACGCCACTGCTGAGCTGGTGAGGGCGAGGAGGCAGCGATCCACCTGCGCCACCCACTCCTCCCGGCTCTCCTGTGTGCTCTCCCATGCTTCCTCGACCTGCTGCTGCTGTTGCAATGCCGCCCTGTTACTGGCTGCACCAGTGGCACTGCCCTGGACCTGCGCCGCCCTTCCATCCCCCCCACCGCTCTGCTTCTCCTCCTCCTCGTCCAGCTCATCAAGCTCGTCAAGTGCCACGTCATCACTGCCACCTGGAGCACCGCCGCCATCCTCATCCAGCTCATCCAACTCATCAAGCTCGTCTAAATCATCCACCTCGTCCCCCTCTCCCACGTCCGCACTCACACCCCCGGCGCCCCTCATCGTACCACTGCTCTCTGCACTCGTCCCCCCCGGCCCCACGCTGCCTGCATCGCCAGCAGCTGCGGCGGCAGCAACGAGGCGGGCAGAGGCGGCAGCGGCAGCGATGGCAGCGGTGGCGTGGCGGGAGGTCTGCAGGTGCAGCAGGGCCAGCAGGGCCGCGCGCTGGGAGGGGCTGCTGGTGGTGGTGGCGGGCGAGTGGGCTTGGAGAGGGGAGGAGGAGGGAGCAGATGATGGTGGCATGGGGAAGAGCGCCAGGGCGAGGGCATGCAGCGCCAGCGAGTCTGCACAGATTCGGGGGAAGGAGGGTGGATAGAGGCAGGGGGGGAAAGGAGAAGGAGATGGTTAGAGTTTTGGATAAGCAGAACGGTTTGTGAATGCTGATGCCCATGCGGCCAGGGACGCGGGCATGTGGCACGGTGTGAGGCACGTGTGAGGCACGTGCCAGGTACTAGTGAGGCACCACGTCAGGCCACCACTCACCTCTTGCCTCTGCACTCTGCTGCTCCACACACGCGACAAGTGGCAGCGCCTCATTGGCTCGCTGCACCCACCACACCACCTCCTCCTCCACTTGCCGCTCCAACGTCCCTCTCCACCTTCCTTCCCCATCCACTGCTGCACACCCCCCTGCTGCCTCCCCTTGCCCCCCTGCCTGCCCGCCCCACCGCACCACAGGCATGAGTATCCCCACCACCTCTGCCACCACGCGCACTCTCCCTCGCCCTCCCACCGCCACAGCATGCCCATGGGAGGAGCTGCCACGGCCCTCCCTCTCCGCCTTCAGCGCGGCCAGCTGCTGCCGCACCACCCGCCACGCCTGCTGTGGACCCCACGCCCCTGCTGCAAGGAACCTTCTGAGAAGCCCGCAGAGTGCCTTCAGGGCAAAGGAAGCATGTGTGGGAGTGGCAGCGGTAGCACTGGCACGAGGTGGGTCAATACCCTGGGACGCCACTTGCACCAACACACTCACCACCTCGCTCACAAGCCTTCCCTCCGCTCTGCCCTCTACTGTTCCTCCCACTCCTGCTCCCTCTGCTGCCCCTCCCTCCACACTTCCTTCTACCTCTTCCTTTTCCCCCACCTGCCGTGCCCCTCGCACCAACAGCTCCACCACCACTGCCGGCCCAATCCCGAGGCCGTCACCCTCGGCCAATGAGAGGCTGCCACGTGGCGTGATGGTGGAGTGATGGTGGTGGCGCAGGGAGTGCTCCTCCTGCCACGCGCACATCATTTCAACCGCCAGTGCCGCCCGCCCGCTGCCCGCTGGGCAGAAGAAGACGGCAGACGGGCCGAGGATTTGAGTGAGGTGAGAGAGGAAATGGAGGAGGCGGGAGGAGAGGTGGAGATGTGAGGGGGGTTGGGAGATTGTGGAGGAGGGACGAGGAGGGGGCGGCAGTGCGTTGATGATGCTGTCTATGTGACTGTACCCTGTCGTATCACTCTCACGGGAACCAGCCGTGCCAGAAGAGTCAGTGACGCAACCCACAAATCGAGGCCACCTGTGTTCACCTCCGCCCATTATCTCGAGGTCGGCTAGAATCCACCCAATCACATGCCTCTCCGCCCCCTCCTTCCTGGCTTGCAGCTGGAAGAAACGGACAAGATCCGCCGCCCAGCGCGCACAGAGGTGTGGGCGGCAGTGGGAGAGAGGAGACGTAGCAGCAGTGGCAAGAGAGCGAGTGAGCAGGCGTGCACAGAGGGTAACCACTGGCGTAGGGGCTGTGAGGGTGGCTGATGAAGCATGGGTAGTGTGAGTGGTGGTAGTGAAATCAGTGATGGCGGTGTGACTGGTGGCAGCAGGGTGTGAGAGGAGCGAGACCCATTGGTTGGCTGCAGCAAGCAGGGCTGGTAACACGGTTACCACCACAGGCTCTGCCACGTCAGCACCCGTGGATGTGAGCCCTGCCAGCTCACTCCCTCCCCCAGCACCCGCCCCAGGTGCCCCCCTGCCCATCGCTGCTCCGCCTCCTGTTTCTACCCCTGCTGCACCCAATGCTGCTCCTCCTGCTGTTCCTCCTGCCACTGCTCCTCCCGATACCTTCTCCATATAACTCCCCTCCCCCAATGCCCCTCCTCCTTTCCCCTCCTCCTCCTCCTCCCCCTCCTCCTGTTTCCAACTCCAACCCCTCTTCTCCCTCTTCCTCCTCTTCTTCCTCGTTTGTTTCCTCCTCTTCGCTTTCCTCCTCGCTTGCTGCCTGATCCCCCCTGTCGTGCTCACCCCCTCCCAGGCACCAGCTTACAACGTAAGACGAGCACGCAGCTGCCACCACCAGCCAATCACCACGCGACAGCTCAGCAGAGCCTGTGCTGCTGGCAGACGCGTGGGAGGCGGACCATAGGGGCTCCAGGACGTCCAGGCACGCTGCCAGCTCAGCCTGTGCTGACGTGGCATCCCCCTCACCTCCTCCTCCTGAGTCTGCTGTTTCCGATGCTCCTGCCTCCATCCCCTCGGCCCCTGCACCTCCCTCTCGCCTCAGCAGCAGCAGCAGCGGCTGCAGCATGAAACTGAGAGTTTGGAGGGAGGGAGAGGAGGAGAGCAGGAGGAGGGAGGAGAGCAGGTGCGAGTGCAGAGAGGCGTAGACCGAGGCAAGGCAGGAGGGGGACAGCCAGGAATGCGAGGAGGGGAGAGGGATGGACGTGGGAGCAGCACGAGGCGCAGAGAGGAGCGTTCGGAGGAGCCACTGGGAGGAGGGGAGGAGCAGCAGCGGCGTGGATGCAGCCACGTGCATGGCCAAGCGGTCAAGAGCGGTGCTGGCCGTGGGGGTGAGGGGAGAGGTGGGGGCGGAGAGCGAGGAGAGAAGTCCAGCGAGGAGGCAAGCGGGCATGTTGAGGGAGGAAAGACCTCCCCTCTGACCCCCACCTGCTGCCACTGCCTCTGCCGCCTGTGTCTCGTGCTCGGCCTGCTGGAGCGCAGCACAGCACAGCCGCTGCACCATCACTGACAGGCACCCCTCGCCCTCTGCTGCTCCTGACTCTCTTCCGCCCGTGCTGCTCGTGCTGCTCGCGGTGCTGGTGCCGTGTGGCGGTGGCAGCAGGGCGAGGTGCGAGAGGAGCTTCACGTGCAGCACAAACACAGCACTGCCCGCCCTCCCATCCGCACCGCCACTCGCACCCACTCCTGCCGCCACCTCCACCTCCGGCAACAGCAAGTCCAGCAGCTGCAGCTGCAGGGGGGTCTTGTGCCCACCACCACTGCCACTGCTTTCCGCGGCACCTGCGCCGCCCGTCCAATCATCAGCCACCAGCTGGCAAAGGATGGCTGGTGCTCCAAACATGTCCACCAGCGCTGCTGCCATGGCTGCTGCAGCTTCCATGTGGGCGGGGGAAAATGAGGGGGGAGAGGACGGGAGGGGAGAGGAAGGGGGGGAAAGCGCGAGCGCGAGAGGCAGCAGTCGGTGCATGAGGGGTGACACCACTGAGGGCACCACCCACTCGCTACGCTTGTCACTGCCCCTCACACTGCCTGCTGCTGTGGGCTTCAGCTGCTGCAGCAGCGACAGCACTGCCTGCACTGTGCTGCCCTCGCCTGTGCCCATGCCTGTGCTGCGACCGCCATCAGCAGCAGCGCTCCCTGCCAGCGCTCTCCTCAGCAGCACCACTTCACCCTCCCCCGTGCTCTCATTCTTGGCAGCATCAACAGGAGGGGGCGCAGCAGTAGCAGCAGCAGCAGCAGGGGGGCCATGAACAGCAGAGAGCACGGCATCCACCACACACGACCAGAAGCCGTCCAGAACAGACCCCCTCTGCGCCTCGCCACTTCCCTGCCTTTCCTTCTCCTCTCCGCCCCCCTTCCACCCCTTCCCCCTCTCCACCTGCACTATCTGTCTCACAGTCTCTCCCACACACGCCACCACCGCTCCCAGCCAAGCACTCCCGCCTTTACTCTCACCTGCTGCCACCCCGCCCCTCTCCCCTTGGGTCTTTCCACCGGTGCCCTCCGTCTTTTCTGAATTGTGTGAATCCGAGCCTGTGTGTTTAGGCTCGGGAAGGAGGTCCAGGAAGCACAAATCCCACAACACCACTTTTACTAATTCCGCAGCAGATATTACCTTTCCTTCTCTCCCACCCTCCTTCTGCTCCCCTTCCCCAACCTCCTCCTCCTCATCCCCCTCTGCCCTCCCCTCCTCATCTCGCCTCAGCTGCACCACACTCAGCACCAAGCACTCCCTCACACATGTCAGCAGCGCCAGCCAATCGGGTCGCGCCACGTGGACAAGCCGTCCCTGCCACAGGCTTGAGAAGAACGGCACCAGCACGCCCTGTGATTGGTGCAGCCTGGCTCGGAAGAACACCGAAAGCAGCGGCAGCAGGCACGGGTACGACTGCGCTGCCGAGCCTAAACACCCGGCTCGGAGAAAACCCCAGAGCTTCGGCAGAGCGGATTTAAGAAAGGAAGGGTTGGCCCAGAGGGAGGGGCAGGTGCGCGAGGCCACTAGAACCAACTCCCACATGGCGCCATGGCATGGCGATGCCTTCTCCCCCATGGCCGCTGCCACCACTGGTCCCACCTTCTCTACCACCTCTGCCTCCCCCATCACCTCCACTTCAGCCCCTCCTCCCCTCTCTCCGCCTCCCCCTCCCGGCCCCCCTTCATCTTGGCTCTCTCTCCCCTTGCTGCTTGCCGCCGCAACTCCCCCCTGCTCCTGCCCCCGCGGGCCCAATGAGAGCAGGACAGCTGGCAGTGCGTGGTAGGCTGCGGAGCGCACGCGGGGGGAGGGGTTCTTGGCGAGGGCGCGGAGGAAGGAGAGGGCGCGCAGGGAGGACAGGAGGGACGCGGCTATGCGTGGCTGGACTGCCACCACAGAGGGGGGCAGTGGTGCGGGGGCCTCTGCTGCTGCCGCTGTTGCCGTTGCTGCCCCTGCTCCTGCTGATCCTACTGCTGCTGTAGCTGCTTCTGCTGCCGGTGCTGTCCCCCCTGCACCGCCAGCAGCAGCCACTCTTTGTGGCCGTGGCGGCAGCAATGCCTGCACAAACGCCCTCAGCGCCAGCAGTGCTGCACATAGCAGCTGCACGCAGGGGGAGTATTGGGGGTAGGCGCATATGGGAGGAGGTGGGGAGAGGCAGAAAAAGGGGGAATAAGTAAGACAAAACCTCTCGCTTCCACCCCTCTCCGCTCCCCCTTTAGACTCCCATCCTCCTCCCTCTCACCCATCCCAACCTCATCCGCATCCCATCTCGTCCAGGTGGTGTTTTGCCTGCCAACAGCGCGGCAGCAGCCAGCGACTGGGGAAAATATTGAGAGGGCTCAGGACCCACCTCGCCACAGTGCCCACACAAACTCCCTAACACAACACACTACTGCAATGACCAACCTCATCCGGCCTTGGTGCACATCTCACCTCGTCCAGGCGGTGCTTGGCCTCCTCCACGCTCAGGCTGCGGTCGGCAGCAGCGAGCGACTGCGGGGTGGCGGGCAGCAGCTCTGCCAGCGTGCCCACCACCGCCTCCCACGCGAATGCTAAGGCCTCCATGCGGCGGGCGGGGGTGGGGAAGGCTGTCTGGAGGACGGTGGGGGAGAGGTGAGAAGGAGAAGACAATTGGGATGGATGAGAAGCGCATAGCAGCTGCCCCGGGATGAGCAGCAGCGTGGGCAGAAGGATGAGATGAAGGCTGGTAAGGCATGTGACGCACCTGGAAGGAGAGGGTGGCGGCAGCAGCGACGTCACGGGAGGAGTCAAACTGCGCCACCCACCACGCCCCCATCACCTGCTTCAGGTGCGGTGCTAGGCCCTTGCTGCCGTGCGGAGAGAGGAAAGGGCAGGGAAGAGGTTTGTGTCGGCAAGGTAACTTCTGGAAGGGGAGATGAGTGGCAGCAGCGATGTCACGAGGAAGTGTGCCGTGGTGCATGTGATGCACCAAACCAACGCACACTGACATGCCAAACTAGTCTGCCTGCCACGGCAACTCACCCCACGCCCTTGACGAGCACAGTCATGGTGGCGTGTGTGGCGAGGCGCACTGCCCTGCTGCCGTCCACCACCAGCCGCCGATACTCAAACGCCTGTTGGTACGTGGCAGGTGGGGAGAGGGTGGGGAAAAAGGGGTTATGACACAGGTGAAGGGAATGGTAAGGAGGAAGGTAGAAGCAGTGAGAGGAGAATGCATACTCAGCATGGATGCATGCTGCCTATCAAGCTAAATGCCTTCCGCCAATGCTGGCATATGGCATGATGCAGAGTGGCACGGCCTCAAACGGCAAAACAAACAAGCGGCATGGACAGCATGGCGTGGCGGAGTATCAAGTCTCACCCACGCGGGCAGCATGGCTTGCATCTGCGCGGCACTGCTGCCGCCCAGTACCCCCTGAAGCGCCTCTAGCGCCTTCAACTGAGAGGAGGGCACATCGCGGGGCACGGAGGGACGTAGTGCAGAGAGTGGGAGGAGAGATGTGTGAAAGGTGAGTGGCGTTGGTGGGATGGGGAAGTGCAGAGGCGGTAGACTTGGGGATGAGCAGCGAGGGAGGGCACATCACGAGTGCACACATGGAAGTGCGGGTGAAGCGGCCACTCTCCTCTGGGTGTGCATGCATGATAGCGCCACTGCGTGCACTCATCAGCCCAAGCGTGCAACACCTCACGGCCCACCCGCCTGCTGCCACAACAAGCGCTCTTCCCCGGCGCCACCCAGTAGGCAGCAGCCCCTCACCTTGGTGGTGGCGTCTTTCTTCGCCAGCCGCCTCAGATGCGCCGCTGCCTCGCCGCCCACGTCCTGCTCATCACCACACAGCACGCAGGTGGAGTGGGGAGAGGTGATACGTGGTGGAGGAGTGGTGGAGTGGAAGCGGCAAAGCGGTTTACAGTGGTGAAACGGTGGCATGTGGTGCATGCAGGCTGTGCATGCACCGCTGCAAACCCCAACTTCTCCCTATTTTCCCCCCTCCCCCGGCCAGCGCTCACCGCCCCAATGACCAGCTCCTTTGCCCCGCTGCCCGCACATGCCTCCGCTGCTCCCCCTTGCCCCTCCCGCCCTCCGTCTGCTCCGCCCTCAGCGCTCTCCCTTCCCCCCGCAGCCGCCCCCGCGGCTGCTGTCTGCACCCGCGCACTGCCCACGTATCCCCCGAACCCCACTGGGCGGGGGGCGCTTCCAGGTCCGCCAGCCGCGCTGCCTGCGCCCGCTGCCAGCAGGGAGGCGGCCAGGCTGCGGAAAAGGGGGGACGGGGGGCGAGGGAGAGGGGATAATGGGGGAGGGGGAATGGGGTATGGGGATGCGGAAGCAGCAGCGGCGCCAATGATGGATTGAGGAGGAGAGCACGGTGAGGTACGTCGGGAACGGGTGCGCGAGTGGGCAGAGGACGGGAGGGTGGGGGGAAAAAGCAGCGGAGATGGGAGGAAGAGAAGTGTGGGAAAGGGGCGAGTGGGGAGGTGTGGAGGGGAAGGGGAGAAGGGTGGATGGCATCGTCGATTCAACCGCTCCGTTTCGGTTTCCCGGTATGAGAACCGGAAATCTCGTCGCGACGCGCAGAATCAAATGCGAGGATGACCACGGATCCACGCCACACAGATTCACGGCGAGAAACAACGCAACCCCGCCGGGTGAAGCTTCCTGATTTCGAACGAGGCCGCACGGGTGCGTGACAGGCCGGGAAGAAATCGGAACACGTGGCAACCATCTCAATTAACGACGCGCGGTTCGGGCCGTCGTTAAGTCACAAGCTGACTCTCTGAAGCGAATGCACGCGCATACAGCCTCCTTCGTGCCTAGAGCCGCCTGCGCTGCAACGACGCGCTGAGACAAACGAATCGCGCACCACCAGTGAGGGCGCGGCGCGCACCTGCTGCTGGCTGGTCGATTCTTGGATCGCGTCGCATCGCCGCCCTTCTGCCGCCCCATCCGGATCGCTCTCGAGGACCCGCCCTGCTTGACGCGAGCGCTTACGAATTTAACGGCGAAGGGGGTTCTAGAAACAAAATTTGTCCGTATCTCTCTCAGGTGAGACCTCCAAAGGCTCGCTAGCGCGTCGCAAAACCAAATCCTGCGGCTAACTTAGCAGCGAATCCAGCAGCGAAATATGGCAGGAAGCTGTGGGAGTGGGAGTGATTGAAAAGGAATAATGAAATTCATGATTGGCTTCTGCAACTTTGCGGGTATGTACTACTGCGATATCGAGGTGATTGTATATCGGATATTGTCAGGAAACGACTGGTTCGCGGGTGCCAAATGGAATCGGAATGGTTCTCTCACAACCGCTTTGAACCGTACATTTACTACTTTTCACCCTAGACCGAAATACCAGATGATGCTTCCAATAAACTGCTCCCATATTTTCCCCTCCATCCCCGCTTTCCCGTTTAGCCACCATTGCTGCCCCGTCAGTGCTCGCTAGGTCAGCTAGATCTCCGCGATGTCCGGCGTACAAGGCGGCGAGGGCGCCGACGACGAGTTCTTTAAGAGCGTCTACACCCAGGGCTACGTGCCGCCCGCCCACACGGCGGTCAAGACAGAGAAGCGGAAGGGCGGGGACGACGCGGAGGGCGGAAGGCAGCGCGATGATGCAGGGACGGGCGTACCGACGGATTTCGGCGGGAAGTACAGCAAGGCGTGGGAGGCGAAGGCGAAGGCGGCGGAGCGCAACTGGAAGAAGCGGCGCGAAGACGACCTCACGTGCAAGATCTGCGGAGAGGCGGGACACCCCACTCAGGTGCGCGGAGGCGGAGCTGCGCGGATGGCGGAGGAAAGAGCGGGAATAGCTTGGGGGGAACAGTGTGCGGACGGTCGAATTGCCGGGTCGACATCGATTGGGATATCAGCCTTTTAGACGTTTCTTTGATTAATTAGAGTCCAGCGGTATCCGCCGACCAAGGCTGTCGTGAAGCTTCGTCGAACGTCGCTATAGATCGCTAACATCGCTGCCGCCGCAGGCGTTGGCGAGTTCTTGGAGCAATTAGCTTGAGATGTAGCGCGATTAAAGCATCCGCGCCTGGTCCGAAACCCCAATCTTCCTTTCCTCGCCGCAACTCGTTAATTATTTTCCATCGGATATTTATCCAACTCTTCTTTCAGGGTTGTCCCACTACCCTCGGCGGAGGCGGTGGCGGAGGGTTTGGCGGAGAGGGGGCCGGTCGGGGGGGCGGCGGAAAGCGCCATGCGCCGTCCGCGTCGCACCCATTCGCGATCAGTATCGGGGTGGCGGACAAGCGCATGCGGTCGCGGATAATTGGCACGGCGGGCATGGTGGTGCAGGGGCTAGAGAAGCAGACCAACTGCCGCATCCAGCTCGAAGACGATCTCGCCGTCGGCGACGGCGCGTTTATCGTCAAGATCTCTGCGGCCGATCGCGACACGCTGGCGGCGGGGGAGAGCGTGGTCCGCGGGTATATCGACCAGCTGCAGCTGGATAGTCTGCGGAAGGGCGGCGGGATTCTGGGCGGGCCGGCGGCGGTGCAGATGGCGCTGGCGGCGCTGGCGAACGACCCCGCGCAGCAGCAGCGCATGTGGGCGGCGGCGACCGCGGAGGCGGCGGGGGAGGCGGAGATGGTAATTGGGGGGGAGGCGGAGGACGCGACGCTGAGGCTGATCGCGGCGCAGCTGGAGGCGCAGCGGCAGGCGGGCGGGGCGATGGTGGGCGCAACGGGGATGGCGGCGGATGGGGGGGGCCTGGTCGCGGTGGGGCCCATGGGGGGAATGGGCGCGGTTGGCCCCATGGGGCCGATGGGGGTGATGGGGGCAATGGGACCGATGGGAGCGATGGGGCCGATGGGAGCAATGGGAGCGATGCTGCCTGGGGGCGCCTTGGGCGCGTATGGGGGACAGGTAGAATCGAGTGGTATGGGTGGTGCAGGTGAGTGCGTGCACGTATGGCATTGTCTGCAGCCGCAGCCAAAGTCATATCCAGAGGCATGAACATCGTCATAGCCTTGGCCTGCTGTATGCTTCAACCTTTGATCGACTTATTGCTGGTGAATCTAGCCATCTGCTTCTCTCCTTTCCCCGACTTCCCCTTTCTGCGCTGCTCCGCTCATCCCCCGCGCCCTCCTGTTGCTGCCCCGCCCGTGCACCCATGCCCTCCACCCGCCAGGCATGCCGATGCTTGAGCTGCCGCCACAGGGGCCGCTGCCGTCGTCAGTGGAGGAGCTAGAGGCGGTGGTGGCGGCGGAGACGAGCGCGCTGCAGCAGGCGCAGGCGAGAGAGGAGAAGGAGGAGACGGACCGCCACACCCTGGTGCGTGCACTGTTGGATGGGAGGCGACGGGGGAAGCGATGGGGGAAGAGAGGGGGGTGGGGAATGAGAAGTTAGAGAATGGTTAGGGGGAAGGGATTGTGTGGAGGGTTATGTCGTTGGTGCAGATGGTAGGTCGATGTTGTGTATGTGTTTGACCTTGAAGCAGCAGGTCCAGTTGCCTCTCTTAACCACGCATTCCTCCTCATCCTCTCTCTGCCCGCCAATCTCCCCCCTACCTTCCCCCCCCCCCCCACCAGCGCATGGAGGAGATCCGCGGGCGGTTCACAGCGCTGGCATCGAGCCTTTCCTCCCGCCAGGCGCAGCAGCGCGCCCAGGTGTACCTCAAGCTCAGCCAGCAGCACCCCCACCAGTTCCAACCTCCCCCCGCCCAGCCCCGGCCCCCGCTGCAGCCGCAGCTTCAGCCCCGCCCCCAGCAGCCTCATCCCCAGCAGCAACAGCCCCAGCCGCAGCAGCCCCAGCCCCAGCAGGCCCAGCACCAGACGCCGCCTCAAGCTCAGAGTGAGCCTCAGGGGCAGGTGCAGGCTCAGGTGCCGGGTCAGGTGCAGTCTCAGGCGGTGCCACAGGGTCAGGGTGTGGGTCAGGGAGGCGGGGGTTACGGCTATGAGGGCTATGGACAGCAGCACACTGGCAACCAGGGGTGGCAGCAGCAGCAGCAGCAGCAGCAGGGAGCGCAGCACAGCTATGGAGGGCAGGGTGGAGAAAACGAGTACAGCCAAACCCCGGGTTACGGTTACAACGCTGCTGCTGCTGTCCCCCCCGCTGGCAGCGCATGGAACCAGCCTGCACCCAATTCCGGGGCACATGCTGATGGCTACTCTGCTCCTGGTGCAGGACCAGTAAGGGGCGCTGGCTACAACTATCAGCAGCAACAGCAGCAACAGCAGCAGCAGCAGCAGCAGCAGCAGCAGCAGCAGCAGCAGCAGCAGCAGCAGCAGCAGCAGCAGCAGCAGCAGCAGCAGCAGCAGCAGCAGCAGCAGCAGCAGCAGCAGCAGCAGCAGCAGCAGCAGCAGCAGCAGCAGCAGCAGCAGCAGCAGCAGCAGCAGCAGCAGCAGCAGCAGCAGCAGCAGCAGCAGCAGCAGCAGCAGCAGCAGCAGCAGCAGCAGCAGCAGCAGCAGCAGCAGCAGCAGCAGCAGCAGCAGCAGCAGCAGCAGCAGCAGCAGCAGCAGCAGCAGCAGCAGCAGCAGCAGCAGCAGCAGCAGCAGCAGCAGCAGCAGCAGCAGCAGCAGCAGCAGCAGCAGCAGCAGCAGCAGCAGCAGCAGCAGCAGCAGCAGCAGCAGCAGCAGCAGCAGCAGCAGCAGCAGCAGCAGCAGCAGCAGCAGCAGCAGCAGCAGCAGCAGCAGCAGCAGCAGCAGCAGCAGCAGCAGCAGCAGCAGCAGCAGCAGCAGCAGCAGCAGCAGCAGCAGCAGCAGCAGCAGCAGCAGCAGCAGCAGCAGCAGCAGCAGCAGCAGCAGCAGCAGCAGCAGCAGCAGCAGCAGCAGCAGCAGCAGCAGCAGCAGCAGCAGCAGCAGCAGCAGCAGCAGCAGCAGCAGCAGCAGCAGCAGCAGCAGCAGCAGCAGCAGCAGCAGCAGCAGCAGCAGCAGCAGCAGCAGCAGCAGCAGCAGCAGCAGCAGCAGCAGCAGCAGCAGCAGCAGCAGCAGCAGCAGCAGCAGCAGCAGCAGCAGCAGCAGCAGCAGCAGCAGCAGCAGCAGCAGCAGCAGCAGCAGCAGCAGCAGCAGCAGCAGCAGCAGCAGCAGCAGCAGCAGCAGCAGCAGCAGCAGCAGCAGCAGCAGCAGCAGCAGCAGCAGCAGCAGCAGCAGCAGCAGCAGCAGCAGCAGCAGCAGCAGCAGCAGCAGTACCAGCAGCAGCAGCAGTACCCCCCTGGTACAAACCCTTCGCCAGGTGCAGGGGCAGCTGGGCCGGGAGCGCCAGGTGCTGGGCAGTACCAGTCGTATGAAGCAAATGGTTACCAACAACCACCTGCCCCAGGTGCAGCCAATGCAGGCTATTATTCTGGTTATGGCGGGGGGCATCAAGGTCCAAATGCAGGGCCTCCGGGTACAGGACCGCCTCCAGGAGGTTATTATGCGTCTGGATATTAATGTTACTTCCGTTGTTAGAAATAGCAGTTTTTTGTTACAACTCCATGTGATTCACGAACAAATAATTGTGAGCTGCAATCGCACCGCGTATTCTGGACATAAAGTCCCGAGCGAACTGAACGACCGAGATGAGCCGACGCTGGGCCGGATTTTCCACCGTGCAGAACTTTCCGTCACCTTGGGAACTTCGAGAGGGAATGACGGAGCGCCCTGGTTTCGGGTTTCCGATTCCTTTGGGCAGTGGTTTTGACAGCGCCTCGCTTCGCGCTCGCGTCCGATACCTTCGGTCAGTAAATTACGCTATTTTCCCATTTGGAGTCCAGAAACTACAACTTTGTTTTATTTAATGGGACAAAAAATATAAACCCCTCACGGGGGGGGCGCCGTCAGGGAGGCATCAACCCTAAACACCATGAGGCAAGGTGTTTAGGGTTGATGCCTCCCTAATGGCCAGCCCTCGGAAAGGGGTTTATTTTTTTTCACTGGCCACTAGACTAATACCAGGTAACTTAATAATTTTTATGGTCACCGGAAACTGGAAATGTCGAAATCAGCTGCCCCAAGGAATCGGACGCGAGCGGAAAAGCGAGGCGGTGTCAAAGCCACTGCCCAAAGGAATCGGAAATCCGAAACCGGGGCGGTTCGTCATTTCCTCGAACTTCGAGCTCTCTGCCCCGCTGGGCCGCACTCCTGGGATCTCCCGCTGACCGCGTACAATCAGATGTTGCAAACGTGTGTGCCAATACCGACTTGCCCAACCAGAAACTCCCCCGGACCCGCAACCACGTCTCATATTTGCCACCGAACCTAAATCTTGCCTGGCTTCCCACTTCGGATGAATTTGATTGGTTCGGAACTGCGGTGAACCCGAAGTCTGGAGGGGAAGTCCTCCGGGGCTGCAACAGTCTCCGCTGGTCGTCCTGGGGAAGGGTCCGCATAAGGGGACAGCACCGCAGGAGATGCTCTTGCAGGGGAGGGAGGGAAGCAGTTGTTCAGGAAGGGGAGTGCCGTAGCTGACTCGTGGTCGTGGATCTGCCTAGGCAAGGAAGGAAGCATCCCCATTCGCGCAAAGCACACGCAATTATAGGGGTGCGCCGCCGTCCGCCTGGAACTCACGCGCGCGCTATCCGTGAGGGCTAAGGTTGATCAGTGCCCTGCTGGGGCAGCGCCGAGCGCCACCGCAAGGGCGGAGAGACAGCCGTGGCAGCATTCCCGAAGGCAGTCAGCGGACCAGAACGAACACCAACCAAACCCGAGGCCAGTCAGAAGCGGCGGCAAAAGTGTAGTCAGGCGTGCGCCCTGGCACCCGCCTGACCCACATCACCCGCCTCACGTGCTTCGCCCGCTCGTCCTCCCCCAACTCTCCGCAGCTCTCAATGCGCTACGCCTCGCTGTTCCTCTTCCCTCCTCCAGCCAGTCAGTTTCCCTAGTTCGTCTGGGTCTCGGATAGTAAACGCTCAGGTGCTTTGGTTCTCTCACTACAACCAGTCCATTGTTCATGAGCACATTTCGGATCACTGCTCACCAGCTTGGCCAGGTATATTAGCGATTTATACCTCACGACTCGCCACTGGTGCATGTTTCATGAATGTGTTCCAGAGAACAAGTTCTTGCAGCTTCGCCACCTAATTTAGCAGTTTTACCTCACGCGCTGCCAGCCACGCGTCTCTGATCTACGTCCGCCATTGGCTCCTAACTGAAGTACTTGAGGAAACAGTTAAAAATTGTCCGTCGAGATTATTCAGCTTCAGCCTTTGTTAACCACGCGTCTAACAGCCCTCTTCAGGCAGAGTAAACCATGGCATTGCGTGTGCCATTCCGATTCCCGCGATCGCGCATTTGGTCGATGTTAGTGATCAACGTGTCGTATCTACTCATAGCCACCGGGGTGGTGTACTTGGGGTTACTGGTAGTAGGCGGCGGGTCGGAGGCGCGGACGGAGTGGGACACGGGAAACATCGACGCGGTGGATCAGGACATGTTTCGACGAGCCATGGAGCAACCTACGCAGACGGATCTCGCTGCCGTGCAACCGAAGATCGCGTTCCTTTTTCTCGTCAGAGGGCCGCTTCCGCTCGAGCGAGTCTGGCAAAGATTCTACCAGGTGCGCGCGAGTCCTCGAGTGCGTCGCATTAAATACCCGCCGAGCATGTTGCTTCAGTCACTGCTCCAGGAGATTGTTCGCTGGGTCTCGCATAATCCATTGCACCTGTTTTTTTTATGCTTAACTAATTAGGCACGGTTCAAGAGGACAACCTGTTGCGTTGCAATAAGCGCTCTGTTTCGCTCGCCGTTATCTCGTTTTGTCCGGCTATTTACCCCACCTCGTCCCTCCCGATCGCCTCTTACTTCCCCCTCTCCTCGTGCCTTTCCGCATCTGTCCCCTATGCGCACGTGGCAGGGACACGAGGGGCGCTATTCCATCTACATCCACGCCTCCACCCCCGACTTCGAGTGCGACAAGCACGTCAACTCCTCCGTCTTCCGCGGTCGTCAAATACCCAGCGTTCCTGTAAGGACCCAATCTTCGCCGGCGTTCGTCCGCCAGGTGTCACGCGACAGTTTCTCGTTCTACTTTCTCGCGTTTCTCACGTCTACATCGATCCACTTTAAGCATATCGTGCCTTGTCTCGCCCCGTCTTGTTTCTCACGCCTTCGCGTCTTTCTCAATCCCCCTCCCTCTTCCTCCTCCCTCCACCCCCCGTCCCCCACCTTCTCCCTTTCGCGCCCTCCTCCCTATCCCACTTCCTCCCCTCCAGATCACGTGGGGCGGCCCCAATCTCATCCGCGCGGAGCGCCGACTGCTCGCCGCGGCGCTAGCGGACCCCGCCAACCAGCGCTTCGTGCTGCTGTCGGAGTCGTGAGTGCGGGGGAAGGGTGGCGATGCGAAGGGGTAGCGATGGGAGGGTGGTGATGGGAGGAGGGAGCAAGGACTCTCGTGGGTCCGGGGACGCGTACGGGAGGGAGTCGTTATGCTGTGTGGGGGGAGTGCTTTTTTTTTCCATCGCGCTCTCATTCTCGGCAGCCGATTGGCAGTTATAGATTGATTTGCACACGTCCAAGCATACCGACTCAATGCTGCCCTCCTCGCCCCCCTCCCCCCTCCCGCCGCTCCCTGTTTCTTCCCCCCTCCCCGTTGCAACCCTCCTCGCCGCTGCGCGTCTCCGTGGTGGGTGCAGCTGCCTGCCGCTCTTCAACTTCACGCACGTCTTCGACTACCTCATGGCCTCCGACAAGAGCTTCGTTACAAGGTAAGCTTCGTTACAAGGTATGCTTCGTTACAAGGTATGCTTCGTTATGAGTTAGCGCACGGTATCGAGCTTGTGCGCTAATGTTTGAAAAGACGATTTAAAACGAAGGAGAAGTCTTGAAGCAAATCACGTTCCCACTCCCTCCTACCACTCCCTCACCTCTCTCACCTGCCTCGCTTCTCATTCGCATTGTTGTTAACCCTCCTCCCTCCGCCCATCTGTCTCCCGCCTAATCGTCTGTTCCTTCCCCTGGTCCGCCTCCCCTTCCCCCATCCACCTCCTCTTCCCCACTCTTCCCCGTGCGCGAGCAGCCATGCGAGCGTGTGGCGGTACCGCAAGGAGATGGCGCCGGTCATCAAGGGCCAGGACTTCAAAAAGGGATCGCAGGTGAGCCGCGTGGGGGACGCTTGAGGAGAGGCGCGGTGCATGTGAGGCGCTTGAAGGGCGCAGGTGGGGTGCTGGGGGGCGCAGGTGAGACGCTCGTGGGGGTGCGCAAGTGAGACGCTTGGGGGCGCAGGTGAGGCGCTTGGGGGATCGCAGGATAGCGGTGGACGGCTTTTTGGGTTGCTGTTGTAAGGATGTTTCTCCTCCGCCTGCAGTTTGACCGCTGAGATGATGCAACAGGCACCTCTGCCCTTCCCTGTGGCTTACACCTGTTCCCCTCCCCCCCAACCACCCGTCTACATGCACATGCGCAGTGGTTTGCGTTGACACGAGCGCATGCAGCCAAGGTGGTGGAGGACAGCAAGTTCTACGAGACATTCGTCAAAACCAACGCCGAGGTGCGCCCAACTGCCCCCATCTGCCTCCCAACTGTTCCCCTATCCCATGCTACATCGTCTCAAGTTTCGCCCTCGCCCTTCCCTCGATCCTGACTCTTTTGCGTGCTTGAACCCTTTCTTCAATCAATCTCCCCATGCTTGTCTTGCCCGCTGCTTGCAGATTCCCGATGAGAGCTACATTCAAACCATCCTCGCTGTAAGCTCCTGAGCCTCACTGTCACCCTTCAGCTCGCACACCCCTGGCTTCCTCTCTTTTTCTGTAAATTGCCGTTTGAATCATAATGTAATGCCATGCCATTCTCACCATTGCCTGCTTCCCTCGTGACTGTCTTCTCCGCTTCTCAGATGCTGGACCGAAAAGCGGTGGAGCCGCGCAGTGTGCTGTACGTGCACTGGTTCACATCCTCGTCCAGCCACCCCATGAGCTACAACACAAGTCAAGTCACCAGGGAATTCATCCTCTCCTTGCAAGTGGGTCCCCTCTCCTTCATCCCTTCCGCCTTGTCCTACGGTGTCTTCAAGAAGTCCATTTTGTGCCTTTGCTTTGTCAACAGCATTGCAATTGATTTGTGCTCATCCTTGCTGTGGTGCAGCGGAGTCGATTCCCACCAGCCGAGACAGTGGGCTACCTCAAGCAGTCGCCCTCACGGCCATGCACAGTTGCAGGCCGGCCCACACATTGCTTTCTTTTCGCCAGAAAATTTGACCCGGAAGCGGTTCCGGCTTTCCTTGCCTTGCGCGATATAATCGGCTTTTGATCTCGACGGACTTGCCTGCTCGCCCCTGCCTGCTATGCCAAGGGACAAGGGTGGTTGCAGTGCCAACTTGTTTGGTTGGCTGGGCCCATTGATGGTAGACTAGCTTCTAATGTGTATAGGTAGCCCTGATAGTAAGAAAAACGTCCCAGGTTTCAAGCAATGCACTTCCCACACAAGGATTCTGGGCAAATTTTTGGCCAGACTCCCACACTAGAATTAAATGGTTCCCCAAGCTTTTGAAGATGCATACCATAACAAGAGCAGTGCACATCTTTTCTCATCAAGTGCAAGGCTATGGAGCTTCTCTGGAAGATAGTACTACCGTACACCAGGAATGAGAAGTGAAACAACATGGGTACACAGATTTATGATTTTCATTCACGCAGGATAAGGGCATGTCACATGTGTCATCGGGGTCGAACTTTGGCCGAAGTTCAACCTTCTAGAGAGGAACACAGTAGGATATAGTTGAGAGACATGTAGCCACGCCACGGAACAAAGCTGTTTAGGGGCCAAATGGATGTGCTCCAAGGGGCCCATGCCCCATATCAGCTGGGTTTGGAGAGCAGACGCTCATACAAGAAGGCATGGCACACAAGACAAGCACGGCAAATGTAGAGTACAGGCTTGAAACAGCCATTATGTTCATCCTACACGCATAGATCTGAACCATATCCACTCGAAGAGCCACTAATAAAATAAAGCCTAGAAATAAAGACCTACCCATCCCCGAAACCCTAAGCCAGTCTGCAGGCCCGCAGCAACCCTACATTGCCTTGCCTGCCACGTCCGCCTTGCTGGCTGCGTCCGCCTTTTTGGGGTCGTCAGCGGGGTAGGTGCCGAAGACCTTGTCCCAGAAGGCGTTGGTGATGCCGAAGCCAGCGTTGTACTCCTTGAAGTGGTGCGCCATGTGGTAGCGGCGCAGGAAGCGGATCCACTCGAGCTCGAGCGGCACGCCGAAGTGCACGAAGTAGTGCGTCATGTCGTAGCAGATGTACCCGAAAATCGCCCCCGCGTACACCGGCCACACCAGGAACGACGGGAACACCACGAAGAACGGAATCGCCACCACGGTGGACAGCGTCGCGAAGAGCACGGGCGGCATGACGAGGCGATAGCGGTCCTGCGGGTGCTTGTGGTGGCAGCCGTGCAGCAGGTAGTGCAACGTGTTGGTCCAGTACCCCGTGGTGCGGTAGTGGAAGAGGAAGCGGTGCAGGCTGTACTCCATCAGCGTCCACACCACCAGCCCCACCGCGAACAGCGGCGCGACGAGCACCTTGGGCGTGCCGGCGAGCGCGGCGCGGTACTCGGCGAAGGCGATGACGGGGAGCCAGACGAGCGGGATCATCCACCAGTGCGTCTGCGTGAAGAACTCCATCCAGTCGGGGCCGAACAGGCGCGGACCCGTTCTGCTGATGATGGGTTGGTGCACCCAGTCGTCGTAGTGCTCCCCCAGATACCCCACCTGAAACACTAGCGGCTTCGTCAGATCCGGCTTGAACGGACCGTCCTGCTTGCCGGAAGCTCCGGCCGATGCGGGCTGCGATGGTTGCGACATGGCGTTAGGAGCCATGTAGCGGCTCAGGGTCCGGTTTGAGTGCGAGTGAAAAGTACTATTCTAAGGATATATCGCTGGATGGATTCACCCTGAAAGCACAAGGCTCCGTCACCTAGGTTGCTGCGGAGCGGAGATTCCAATGCGAGTCGAGATAGCAAGGCGAACAAAACTCGAGGTCGAGACGAGAAGCGTGGATGGTGATCTTTATTGTCAGACGGTGATGGGGCCCCGCGGGGCAGAGGGGGGCTGGCGGGAAAGATTTGGAGGGAAGGATTCAGGAACGAGCGATGGATTCACGGGCAACGAACAAAGTTTTTGTCGCACAACTTCCCGGAACATGGTGGCTTTCCGTCCAACACTTGTGCCACATGAGCTGCCCGCCTAAAGCTCCAACCACTCTCATTCGCTGACCTCGGGCATGGGTCGCATCGACACGCCTTGCTGGACACAAACTCTTGAATCTGTCAGGAGCACTCAGAATCTCTGTAACACACATTTACACACACTGTAAGGATTTGTAAAACCTTACTGATTTTTTTAAACAATTTGAGGACGTTTCATGCTTAATGAGCATCATACCGTTTGCAAACTGCAATACATATTTTATATGACTATTCTAGCTCATATATATTGAAATTATCAGACCATGTGGCATCAGAGGCGCTTTAGACAATAAGTTCATAGGATTATTAACTGTTCTATAATCCTTAGGAAGGAGACAGTCGTCTATGCATGAACTGTTATATGTACTACAAGTTAACAAAAATGTGCTAATGTGGAAGCGCTCGGTATGGTTCACATGACTCAAAGCTGATTGGTCGTGATGGAGAAGCCCTAGACCTACCGAACTGGGGTACTCTGGTGGGTGGGTGACTGCCCTTCCCTGCCCAAACCACCGCTACCCTCAACAAAGTAGCCTCATTCACAGAGGAGTTTGTTACTCGTGCCCTGAAACGGTAAGTGCGTGCCGGCGTAAATGGGTTGTGCGAGGTACTCTGACCTGTCGCCGCGGAAGCCTAAGTACATTTTCAAGTTTGATTCTTATAGAAGGTCGCTTGGCGCAGTATTTTTGAATGTAAATTTCTGAATTTGAAGGGACAATACCAGAAGTATCTGGCAGGTTCAGGCATTCATCAATCGCAAGCCGCGACGGGGTCCCACAATGCAAACCGTTGCGGGTATTCCCGCGCCCTAGCGCTTCGGTGCGGATCATCAACAACGTACGTGCGTGCTCCTACATAGTGTCTCCACGCCTCCCCTCTTGGCTTGTTGTCCGCTTTGTAGCTCAAACGATTGCCGAACCTCCCCTCTTGGCGTATTAGATCTGAAGCCTAGTTCGGCGAGCGCCCAGTGCCCCAACCACCACCACCACCGCCCTCATCACCGCTCTCGGGAGGCAAGGCGTGGCGCGAAGAGGATGGGTGGGCCAAGGCATCCGCCAGCAGCACCCAGACCAGATGGAACAGCGCGCCAAACCTGGAGGTGGCAGCGGGCGAAGGCAGGGAAGCAGATCAGCTCACGTTATGAGGGGTGGTGTGGTGCGACCCAGTGGTGGTGGTGGTCACTCACAGCCGTGCGAAGCCACCGAAACCTAAACGGTGAGTAACAAACAAAGAGCGATGCAGACTAGGCAAAGGGAGGCGGTGAGGAAGGCCAAGATTGTGGGGGGGAGCGAAGAGTGAAGCAAGGAGCAGGTCGTCGTGAGTTTCTTGCGGCTTTGCACACAATGAAGCAACTCTGCTCCCACGTTAGCAGCCATCCTGATAAGTTGCACTCCAGCATCAGACCTACCGCGCTTTACGCTCCGCTTTTTTCCCCCTCAACGACCAATTATAAAGTTGCAGCTAGGTGCCTCCGACGTTAGAGAAGCAAAAAGAATACTAAAGCGTACAACTTCTTCACCTCTGAAGCTACGTGCATCTGCGTGAGTTAGGTTTAGCTGGAAGCACGACGCGCAGCGGGGATCAAATCGACAACCTGCCGGTTCCTAGATGGGAGCGTGTACAGAGCCAGGGCCATTGGAGCGCGAGAGTAGATGTTCGTCCACGCTAAGCCCGCCTTCCCTTAGGTCGCAGTCGCACTCGCACCACTCCTCGTCCAGACACAGCAGCGCCCACCCGCTCACCGCCTCGTCGCACTTCGCGTCGCCGTATGCGTCCGTGCTCTGCGCCATCTCCCTAGGCCCCACCGCCTCCTGGCCGCGCCTCACCATGCGCAACTTCGGACTGCCGCGCCTCTGGCTGCTGCTTACCGTCTTCACCGTCGCGTCGCTCGGCCTCGTCGCCGTGCGGTTGCACCCTGCGAAACCGAGAGTAGCGGCGGTTCCAGCGAGGGCCGCGAGAGTGATGTTGGATCAGACTCGCGAGGTCTTGTGCGGCGGCCAAATACGAGACCTTAGTCGCAGCAATGGCGCGATAAGACCGGAATTAGAGTGGTCGTCGCCGTCATCCGTGCCGCGACGAGCTCTCGACGAGTCCAGCAGACCACCGCAGTCGTTCCTCGCGTCGCTTACCGCGTCGTCCGCCAAACAACCGCCTTCCGATCAACCACTCGCCAATCAACCAGCCGCCACCTGTTCAAAATGCAGGTATGTCGTCACGCCGTCTCTCGCGACCTCGTTTTCCACTCGGTGCTTCAAGTGTAAACCACTTGATATCGCAGAGCATGAAGCTGGTCAGTCACGTGTGGGTATCCCATCCAGCGTGGATCACGCAAGGCTTAGACTTGTCGATTTTGACGCGCTTGTCGTTTCGTGCGGCTGTCGTTCTTCTTCTCCTGCATCTCTTTTTCCTTCCCTAATTCTCTCTCCCCTAATTTGTCCCATTCTCCCCCCCGTCTCTCCCCCCGCGCGTCCGTCGCCAGAACGCTTAAGGAGGTGCTTGACGGAGCATTAACGGCCGCCGGTGGCGATCCGTCGGCAGCGGCGGCGCTGGCGGCGGCGTTGGAAGAGGAGTACGGCGGGCCTAGCGGGCTGCCCGACCCGGATCGCCCGTTCCTCGAGGCGCCGCAACAATTGACGGCGCGAGCAGAGGATGGCGGCGACGGCAAGTCGGCGGCGAGCAGAGTGGTGGAGGCGTCGGCGGCGTCGTCGCTGTCGCGCACGGTGATCGTGACGGCGCTGTCGGAGGCGTGGGCGCCCATGATGCGCTTCTTCCTCGACCGCCTCCGCCTCGTCGAACAGCAGGCGCGCGCGGAGGCGGAGTCGGAAGGGCGCGCGGAGGGGGGTGTGGAGGCGGAGGTGGGGTTGAACCGGCTGGTGGATCGGCTGGTGGTGGTGGCATACGACGACGCGAGCTTCGACGAGTGCTGCTCGCTGGGGCTGCAGTGCTACTTCGACTGGCAGGACGACGCGGAGGAGAAGGAGGACTTCAGCGGCGAGCAGAAGCACTTCATGACGCCCGCCTACATCCACCTCGTCTGGCGCAAGGTGCACGTCGTGCGCAGCATGCTCGCGCTGGGCTACGACGTGGTGTTCACGGACAACGACATTCTCTGGCTGCGCAACCCGCTGCCGCACCTCCTGCTCGCGGCGCCCGAGGACATGCACATGAGCGTCGACTGGTGGTTCGCCAACTCGCGCGCCGTCATGGCCAACGGCGGCTTCTACGCGGCGCGCAGCAACACGCGCATGCTCAAGTTCTTCGACGACTGGATCGCCTGGCACAAGCGGTGAGCCTCCCGCGTCCCCGTCGTTCCCCTCGCCCTCTCGCCGTCATTGCGCTGCGATGTTGCGCCTGTCGTGCCGTCCCGCCCCCTGCTGGCCGATTCTTCCCTCCCCACACCAGGTCGACTCCACCCCACTCTCCACTTACACTCCTAATCAACTCGCTCCCCATTTTCTCCTCCCTCCCCCCTTCCGCCCGGTCTCCTCGCTCTCTTTCCCCCCCCCCCCCCGGCTTCCGCACGCCAGGCTGCCGAAGCACCGCATTCAGCAGATATTCGACTGGATCCGCCCGGAGGCCAACCCCTTCACGCGCACCGCCACGCCGCTCACGGTGCGCTACCTGCCCACGTCGCACTTCGGCGGGTTCTGCGAGATGGGCACGCTGGCGGAGCTGGTGACGGTGCACGCCACGTGCTGCTTCGGGCTGGACTCCAAGCTGCGCGTGCTGCGCAAGGTCGCCGCGGACTGGGACTGGATGCGCGCGCTGCCGCACGGCGCGCTGGAGGAGCACGCGTTCGTGTGGCAGAGACGGACGTGCGCGACGGACTGATAGCTGCGCGCGCGTCTCGGCGAGGAGGGCGGGGAATGCGCACTGCCCCTCCATGCTATTTATTATGCAGCCAGCTGATGCGCAGAGCATTTCGTTTTTCCAGCGTAGCAGTTCTCGAGGCAACTCCTGCACGCGCGATACATGCACCGTTCATCCATCATCCGCACATCCATCCATCCTGCCTTCCAGCCGTCCAGCCGCCAGCCATCCAGCCATCCAGCCATCCAGCCTTGCAGCCACCCAGCCACCCCATAGCGCGTGTAGCAGGGCAGCAGTGCGCGTGCGGGAGCAGGAGCGGCAGGCGAGCAAGCTAACCCACCCAGTGACCGCGGATTGCGAGGCAGCCTCCTCTCGAGACTGCCTTCAGCCCCCCTGCTTCCCCATGCCCTCTGCCGCCCCTTTCCCGCTGTCGCCCCGGCGTGCACGGGGGGTTGCGAGCCGCTCTGCAGGGCAGCAGCACATGTGCAAGCTGAACGTGTTGTGGTTGGCAGCAGTGCGGGAGGCACGTCTGGGGTGGGCCATGGGGCATGCATGGGTCAGGGCTCAGGGCGTGCGCAGTGCGGAGTGAGGCCCGATGGAATAAGGCGTGGCAAGCACAGCGGCATGGCAGGCAGGGGCAGCAGGGACGGGAGGGGGAGCAGTGGTGTGGGCCATGGCGGTGTGTGGGGATGGATCCGTGCGGTCAGGATGCCGCAGCATGCTGATGCAGCAGGGGGGTGGGTGGGCTGGCAGGCAATGCAGGGGCAGTGCAGCGCAAGGCATGTGTGGTGGGTGGGGGCAAGGCTGGCCTGCAGTGGCTAGGGGGGTGCAGGAGAGCTGTGCGGGGAAGGCAGGGCATGTGCCTGTCGAGAGGCGACTTGCATGTGATGGTGTTGGAGGAGAGGGCGAGTTGACTGTGCAGCCTCAAGTGGTGCTGCACAATGCAGCGCCTGTGACGCACAATGCAGCGCCTGTAACCACGACACTCTGTCGCCTGCCTGCATGCCAACGGCAGTCACGGCACTGTGCCGGCTGTGCGACATGCTTCCCTAGTTACCTGTAGAAGAGCCGCTGCTAGTTGGTTGTAGGGTTTGAGTTATAGGACTGCTGTGCGCTGGATATTTTTAGGTTGTGAGTTTCCCGGTCATGATAGTGGTAGCAGTAGAGCGGGTGTATGCCCCAGACCAAACTCGATGTTGACCCGGGCGGTTGCACATGTGGCAGCGGAGTTCATCCGCTCCTTGGGGTTACTGCAGAGCGAACCTCTCTAGTTACGCAAGTGAGACTATTGTGAGCCTGAGTTTTGAGGGTATGGTATGCCTCCCACTTGTGTTGATTTGCATTAAGGGATACCAATTGATTTTTTATTTTTGGGTTGCGAAGCAACCTATTACAATCGTTATGTACAATTTTTTTTTCATTTTGCGCACAAAAGAAAAATATGAAGAAAATCTAGTGAACAGTACAGTAATTAAGTGACTTACTGCTTTATAATGCGACGGCAATTTAGCACGCGCCGTACCATCTTCGTTATTATTTCATAGTGAATCTTTACTGTTTATTTTGTACTGCAATGATGGGTGATGTTATGCGTAGATGAAGTATAATGATGGATGTGGTTAAATAATTATAGAATGCCAAATGCATAAATATAATGCATGTGATATTGTAGTGAATATATAGTAGTATATATTTCGATAAAAAGACTAGTGTAGTGAAATAAATGCATAGCATGATAGAAATGCGTAACAGTGAATTGACCCGAACCCTATGCTACCGCATCCCCTGCCTAGCATGGGGGGGAGGTCAATAGCATAGTTTCCAAATCATCCAACTGTTACATGAAACAACACAATCTGTGTAAACTAAAAAAATGATCAAGATCTATCAAATCCAGTTCAAATGAACACACTCACTGAGTGGGCAAAGAACCTTCTCGGAAATTGTCAAATGTTGTAGCCTATAGTGAGGTTTGTCTTAGGGGGTACAAAACTTAGGGTTAGCTATATGTACCCCAACCAACATCAATGCATCATCCATTCTTCATTTTGACATGGTATCAGTTAGGTTAGGATCCTGTGGGATCCCGTTCCTCCGTTCTCCGTTCGAGCCTCCCGAGCCTGATCCTAGCTCTCATTCGTCCCGGTTCCGTTGTTACCGCGCGTAGTGCCGAGCCTAGCGCCAATCCTAGCGCCCGTCCGCGCCACCCGTTCCCCTCGTTCCGTAGCGCCCGCCCTTACCCCCCGTCGCGTCGCGTTCCCCCCCCACGTTGTGTCGCGCCCGTTCCCCCCGTCGCGTCGCCGCCCATTCCCCCCGTCGCGTCGCGTCTTTTCCCCCCGTCACGTCGCGCCCGTTCCCCCCCGTCGAGTCGCGCCCTTTCCCCCCGTCGCGTCCTGCCCGCCCTTTCCCCCTCGTCGCGTCCCTTTCCCCCCGTCGCGTCCTGCCCGCCCTTTCCCCCTCGTCGCGTCCCTTTCCCCCCGTCGCGTCCTCCCCGCCCTTTCCCCCCTCGTCGCGTCCCTTTCCCCCCGTCGCGTCCCGCCGCCCTTTCCCCCGTTGCGTCCCTTTCTCCCCGTCACGCTCCTCGCCCGCCGCTGCGCGCGTCGCCGCTGCGCCCCCTGCCGTCGCCCGCTGCGCGCGCTGCTGGCCCCTGCTGCCGAGCGCGCTGCCATCGCCCGCCGCTGCGCCCGTTCCCGTTCCCCGCTGCTTAGTCCCCTGTTACCTCCCGCTGTCACGCCCGCTGTGGCGTCCGCTCCTCCCCTGTCCCAGAGTACCGCCGAACCCTAATTTGCCTCTCACCTACTGCTGTCCCCTCCCTCTCCGTTCGCGTTCGTTTTCACTATGGCGACTCAGCGTGTCCTTCGTTTCGACGCTGACGGTAGACCTCTTGATTTTTCCGTCTGGCTTCTTCGTGCTCGCCGTCTGTTAGAGAGTCAGGTCCAGGCAGGCGAGACCCTCTGGGCGCACGCTACTGGTGCCCTACCTGCGCCCTCCGACCCTACGCCTTTAGGACCTGCCCCTGACGACGCCGCTAGAGCCCGCTTTGCCACTCAGCGAGCTGACCAGACGGCTTGGACGTCACGTGACGCTGCGGCCTGCATCGCGCTCAGCAGCCTCCTCCCTGAGTCTGAGGAGGTTCACTTCACTCAGGTTCGCACCGCTGCTGAGTACCTCACTGCGATTAAGGCCCGCTACTCTACTCCCGCTGCTGTCTCTCTTGGCCGCCTGTTCCTCCCGTTCCTGTTTCCTGACCTAGCGTCTTTTGAGCGCTCTGCTGACTTGATCGCTCACCTCCGCTCGCTCGACGCTAGTTACCGCGCTGCTTGCACTGAGGCACAGCTTGCACTGCTTCCTCCCCCTATGGCGATTACTATCTATTTCATCGCCACTAGCCTCCCTGACCGCCTTGCCTCCGTTCGCGACGCGCTTCTGCTGAAGCACCCTAGTGAGCTCACCGTCGATGTCCTTGAGTCTGCACTCAAGGACGTCGAGAGCAACCTTCGCTCGGTAGCCGCTGCCTCTGGTGCTGTGCCCCCCCCACTCTTCCACGGGTGCACAGTCCCGCAGTTACCCACCTTTACTGCCTCACTTGCCACTGCCGCTACTGACGCGACTGCAGCTGCTGTTACGACTGCGTCGCGGTCCCGCGGTAGGAGTGGCAAGAAAGGCGGTTCTGGTGGTGGTAGTGGAGGTGGAGGCGGAGGTAGTGGAGGTGGCGTTGCGCCTGGCGGCGGTGGAGGTTCAGGGCCTGGAGAGGCGCCTCGTGCAGTGACTGGTGACTCCACTGCGCCTGCTGGTGGTGGCGACGCCCGAGTTCGTCAGTCGCCTCCTGTACTTCCTGCCCCGGTTGGTGGAGCAGCGGCGTGGTACCAGGCTCAGCGTCAGCAGCAGCTTCTGCAGCACCAGCAGCCCCTCTCCTCCCAGCAGCCTCAGCAGCAGCAGCGGCAGCAGCTGGCTCCAGGGTCGGGGCTGCGTCAGACCCAGCGCGGTGCTGCTTACACTCCCTGCACCTACCAGGTTCTGACAGGCACTCGTCGTGGCCACCCTTGTGGCCGGTTTCACCCCCCTGGTCAGTGCTTTGCTCAGCTCACTGACACGGTTCGTTTGGTCTACGGGGTTGGTGCTCCTGCCCCTGACTGGCTGCCTCTTGTTCAGCGCTACGGCTCCGCTCTGTGGGGCATGTCTGCTGAGCAGTTAGTTGATCTGATTGGTACTCCCCATGCTATGTATGCTGTTGTTGACTCTAGTGTTTCTGACTCTGCTTACTCTGGTGTTGTTAGCTTAGGTGCTAGCCTTGCTCAGTTGCCTGTTGCTAGTGTAGGTTCTTGTGTAGACTCTAGTCCAGCGGCTACCTCAGAGGACGGTTCGCTGTCGTTCACGCTGGACTCTGGAGCCTCTCACTGCTTCTTTCGTGACAGCACGACACTTACGCCTCTTCCTGCGCCTGTTTCTGTGGCGCTGGCTGATCCCACTTCGGGACCAGTCACCGCGCGTCACACTACCACCTTGCCGTGTCCGGCTGCTCCTTCTGGGTCTCTCACTGGGTTTCACGTCCCCTCGTTCTCCCGAAACTTGGTGGGCGTGCGACCCCTCGTGAGTCAGCACGTGGGTGTGTGGTTTGAGCCTTCTGGAGAGACTGCGGTGTGTGTTGACGGGGACTCTTACCAGCCCCTCGCCACTTTTGCTGCTGAGCCGGGCTCCGGTCTCTACACTCTTCACACTGGCCCGCGCGCTCAGCAGCGACTGCAGCAGCAGCAGCAGCCGCAGCAGCAGCAGCAGCAGCAGCAGCCGCAGCAGCAGCAGCGGCAGCAGCCGCAGCCGCAGCCACAGCCGCCCCTCCTGCCCCCGGCCCCTGTTTTGCCTCCCGTTCGAGTCCTCGCGTCTCACCAGGTTGCTCCGTCCCCCCAGGTAGCTGTGTCTTGTCAGGTTCCTCCGTCTAGTCCGGTCGCTGCGTCGTGCTCCTGTCGGTCGCTTGCCCACCCCACCGTTTTGTGGCACCACCGGCTGGGGCACCCTTCTCCTCC